GTCCCCTGCTGTGATATTGCTGGAATATTGCGAAAAACGGCGTAAAAACCACACTCACTCACTCACTCTATTGCCAGTGTATTGTAGCTTGTCTATTTCTACTGTATGGTATATATATGTGTTACATTACTAGTGTATTGTACCTATTGCTCCTGTGTCAGTAGGCAGTCACACTTCTCGCAAGGATTAACCTTAGTTTCCAAGTTTCACAAATGATGGCAGTTTTTGATTCCGACAAAGCCTACCACAATTCCCCCATCAGGAATATCTTCATGAGTCAGCATCAGTGATGCACTGTAGTCTGGGAGTTCAATAGTACTGTTAGAATGAGTATTGTTTATTTCATAAACACATCCTGAATGATAGCAGGAAATGTGAAACTGTATTCACCCTGGTCCAATAAGTGCACCCTGACCTACTCCTAGACCAGGGAACGTCGCTATATAAGTGCAATAATCTTGGACGCGACGTTAAACCCAATTTCACCTCACCTCACCTAGACCAGGGCCCCGTTGCACAAAGCGATCTTAGCACTAAGGTGATCGAAACTCCCATACTTTAACATAATTGTCGATAGTCGTAGCTCTAAGACCATTTTGTGCAATGGGGTCAATGCTGTAAGTAATGTTTCTAAGCATCCCGACTATGAACGTGAGTCAGTATTTCCTTGTGAACCATTACAAATATATTTCAATGTGTATACATTACCTAGCAACTATCTCAATATCTACATCATTTTAGTTTCATAGATATTTGAAATATGTTTGTTCACGACCACTCGATCTATGAAAATAAATTGTACTTGTTTATGGTTTAATCAGCACTGTTTGTTATATTTCTAAGCCAAAGGCACTTATGGCGAATACAATAATTATATTTTCTGTGATACGTAGTTGTTCGAGTACAAATTACTTGATGTTTGTGTTGGTAAGTAATGAGGGTAAAAAACAGATATTAGTTGAAGCCTATCAGAAAGTGAAACTGTGACATGTATGTGTGAGAGATATGAGACTACAGGAAGTAGTACACCTGTAGGTGCTGCAGGCAGTTTCTGTTGCCCCTTGCTCCTCACTGAAACTGCAAGTGTTCCTGCTCAATTTTACCCAACAATCTAATGTAAACTTGAATCTAACAAAATTAGTTTTTTGTTTCACAGAATTTCTGTCAATGTCATGAACTAGAAACAACATAAAGATAAATGTTGATTTTGAGTTAAAATTGCTCAGAAATAAATGCATTGTTAAAAGTAATTGCAACAAACATGTTTATAAAACATATTTAATCAAACAGCTTTTCCAATTTTTTATTTAAAAAAATATTAAGCTAACCTTGTTTGTAAAGTGAAAATAAATTGGTGTTGCCTTTTCACATTGTTATAACATGTTGACGACTTGTAATGAGAGCTGTCACCCAAGGGAATAAATGTGAAAACATGACTCTTTTGTCTGTTGTGTGTGTGATAACAAACAGATGACGAGGAGACTGCATGGAACTGATGGAGGCTGTATTGTGGGTTCGAATCCCACATAAAACCTGATACAATTCACTGCCATCATCATCCCTGTGCTGATCTGATTTACCGAAGTAGTCTATGCCCTGCATCACTTCAGTCTTTTCTCCATCAGTCTGACGCTCATCTAATTGAGTGAGTGAGTTGGGTTTTACGCCCTTTTTAACAATATTCCAGTTATATCATGGCGTGTCAGCTTAATGTGGGAGGAAAGTCCGAAGTGATGCAGGTCTCAGGCGTTTACCACTTCGGTGAAACCCACGAGCACAGGTATGGTGCTGACAAACCTAGAAACATAATCGGGGCGAACCAGGATTCGAACCCACAATCATAGGTTTCTGGCGTGCCCAAGGAACGCAACTCTGCACAGCAAATCACGGTGCCTTAGACGATTTGGCCACCCGTGTCCCCTCATCTATATGATATACAGCAGCTGACACAAACACTCGCGTAATCTTTGGGAAGACTTTTAAAAGTCATGTTTCACCCTTGCCAAACAAGACTGGAATTTCTTGGCCAGATCGTAGCGCCACCAGTGGCAATTACGAGTTATGTCCCTTCTATGTTCCTCATATTGACCAGTCAGATTCCACCTCTCATTTCACTTACATTTGCTTCAAACAAAATGGTGGTGCCCAGTCTCAACGATCTGATCGATAATCAGGATCTTTATTGTAATGAAACTGGTTTTACCTCATGAAGTCATATCACTTGATCACCTTGATTAAAAACATCAACAGATTTGTGAAAATATGTTTACGCCCAGTTGGCTGTACACATGCTTTGCAAATCCTGCAACCAAACAAAATCTGCATGTTGAAATCAACGTCTATGAACCAGATGAAGATAATGTTAATGGGATTTTTATTGGGCTATGCATAGACTTGTTAGTCCAGCCAAATATTCTCCCAAATTCCAGCCTAGTTTGGCAAAGGTGGAAACTGAACTTTAAAGTCAGTTAATTCCCTTGCCTCAGGAAGATGTAGGGTGATTGAGTGAGTGCGTGAGTTGGGTATAACGCCGCTTTTAACAGTATTCCAGTTATATCACACCGTGTCAGCTTAAAGTGGGAGGAAAGCCCGAAGTGATGCAGGTCTCAGACGTTTACCACTTCAGTGAAACCCACAAGCACGGGTATGGTGCTGACAAACCTAGAAACATAATCGGGGCGAACCAGGATTCGAACCCACAATCAGAGGTTTCTGGCGTGCCCAAGGGACGCAACTCTGCACAGCAAATCGCAATAAGTAGGAAGTTGCATGATTGAAGATATATGTACAAATATTTGAAGGCAAGAGTTTCAGGTGTTACAAATTTTGTGGGATTTCAATTCATCAACATTATTGCAGGGTTGTTAGTGCGGTATGTTTTTAATCTGGAATCTTTCAGGGAAACACTATGGGACAGCCATTAGCTGTGTGGAGTGGTAAGTCAATATAAATATTGTTCACAGGGAGCAGCACCATCATATAATTATCACAGCTAGGCGACCTGTGAAGATCCGGGTCAGCATAACAACCCATGCTTGAATAGGTCTTCAGCAACCCATGCTTGCCATTAAAGGCGACTATGCTTGTTGTAAGAGGCGACTAACGGGATCGGGTGGTCATGCTCGCTGACTTGTTATGCATGTTATATCCCAAGTGCATAGATCAGTGCTCATGATGTCAATCACTAAACTGTCTGGTTCAGGCTCAATTATTTTCAGACCGCTGTCGTATAGCTGGAATATTGCTGAGTGCGGCGTACAACAAACAAACAAACAAACAAACAAACACAGCTAGGCCTAAGATCAATTTGAGGAACACTGACCTGTCAGTGTCGCCTCGTAGGAAATCTCTCAAGTGCTGGAAACCAATCGCTCTCCCAGTGACAAACTAGTCATTAGCAAGAATAACAAAACCAAGACAGCGTGTAATAGAAAGATCTATGTTTAATATCAAATGAGGTAGACATGCCGCCGAGTTGTCTCGCTGGATCCTTAAAAGAAAGGTGACATTTGTAAAAATGAGGTCCACAAAAGACAACCTGTCCAGATCAAGGATCACCGGCGATGGCAGTGAACATGTTGACAAAACAAGTCATAACAATGAATGTGTACAATTTCAAAATACAAAACCTTATATTTTTCATCTTGTTAAAAAAAGTCTAAAAATCTGTGCCTCTGGTTTACAAAATACTGCATAGCACACAATGTTGTTTTATGCTCCAGCCATCTTCCCAAGGCAAGAGAGTTAACTGACTATAAAAGTCCAGTTTCCACCCTTGCCGAACTAGGCTGGTATTATGGAGTTACATTTAGGCTTGACTAACGAGTCTATGCATAGTCCAATCAAAATCGTGCAATGAAATCGAAATCCGTTTCGTAGAGTGTCATGTACATTTCGGTCGACTGCAGGATTTGCAAAGCATGTGCACCGCTAACTCGTTGTCAACAGATAATTTCTAAATCTTTTCATGTTTTTAATCAAGGTGCTCACGTGATTTGATGCATGTCACGATGTGAGACTCGTTTATCACAATATCGATCTTGATTATCGATCAGATCGTCTTGACTGGGCGCCACCGTTTTGTTTGAAACAAATGCAAGTGATACGAGAGGTTGAATCTGATTGGTCAATAGGAGAGTCATAGAAAGGACATAACTCGTAATAGCCACTGGTGGCGCTACGATCGAGCCCTGTAATTCCAGCCTAGTTCAGCAAGGGTGGAAACTGGACTTTCAAAGTCAGTTAACTCACTTGCCTCGGGAAGATGTGCCCCAGGTGGCACTATTCCAGCTGTTTCCCACGGCTTGTCAATAGTCAAGTCTGGCAAGGCAAAACAGTGGTTGACCTAACAATTTCATGTCATCTAAGCATATTGACATGATATCAACCAATTCAGACAACCTGACGACCTTATCTAATTATCTCTACTTTAAGACTAGGACATATTCTAACTATCTATTCTATTCTATACTATTCTAACCACTATCTTAGATCTAACAGTACATACCGTATTCCATGTAAAAAGCGCCCAGGGCACTCTCAAAATTTGAAAAAGGGGGCTCTTATTAGAATATTATTTTGGTGAAAAAAAAACAGAGTTGAAAGATCGTAAATTCCGTGGTTTATGCTGACAGCCTGAATGATACAAAAGAAAAGTCTGTGCGTATTATACACAACAGATATATTTTCAAGAATTTAATTGCCCATAATTAAGGGTGCATAAACACATAAGTGCGTATTATACACGAATAAAGAAGTCTTGTGTACATTGATCAATTGGAAGGGTGCTAAATGGGATTGTTCACTAGCCAATATTTAAGCAACTATTGTCGTGGGCGCCTATTAGAGCGGCGCGTTTATTACGTCGAATACGGTAGTAATAACGTCAAGATGACTGTTGAGAGTGTTGCACAATTTTGAGACAACCAAATTTGAATATGTTTTTATCATTTAACTTATTGAGGCTAAAGACTTTAACACAATTAACACAATTCTATTTAGACACAAAGTGGTTTCGTTGCCCAGCAACCATTTTATTTAATGACTGGTTTGATACCAAAAACTTCATCAGAAACCCTGCTTCTGACTGTTAGTACTGCACCCTTAAAGTTCCTGAGTATTAGCACCAAGGGATGACCTCCATCGTCTCAGTACAATGCCACTCCAGCAGGATCACACAGTAACCATGGTAACCACCCAAGAGACCTTGTAGTTATTTTTGAAACAGCAGTTATGCCAGCATCCACCACCAAAATTGCGTGACAAGAATCTTGTCAATGAGTATAGTTAAAGACATGTCGTTCATATCTTCTTAACTTTGTATTTCCTTTCAAACGCCGGCACATCAAACTTCCTGGTGCAGCCCTTGTAGTTCATGTAGCGGATCTTGCCGAACACTTCGCGCTCCTTCCAGCCCTGGTCGTGGATGCCACAGATTGACCACATGCATCCTGCACACACACCAGTCACAATATCACAACTATGTTCATTGTTTAAGAAATAAACGATGAGTGGGAGTTGTTTTATTGTACGATAAACAACGACCACGAGTCGTTTATTTCTTTTATGGTTGGTTGCTTTGTTGTTTAACGCCGCACTCAGCAATATTCCAGCTATATGACGGCGGTCTGTAAATAATCGAGTCTGGACCAGACAATCCAGTGATTAATATCATGAGCATCGATCCATTGGGATCGATGACATGCATCAACCAAGTCAGCGAGCCTGACCACCCAATCCCGTTAGTCACCTTTTACGACAAGCAGAGTCACCTTTTACGGCAAGTATGGGTTGCTGAAGACCTGTTCTACCCCAGAATCTTCACGGGTCTTATTAGACTAACATCTAGTCTCTGAAATGAACATATCGTACATAAAAAAACAGTTGTTCAGTTATCTTAATAAAGATATAATAAAAAGGAGCCCAGTGACTCTCTTCATTTTCAGATACTGCAGTGATCTAGACTTGCCAAACATTATAGACTTGCATGGGCTGTATTTGATATATATTTGTATCAGGGTCTGTAAGACAGACTAGGGTCTTATTTCTTTTATGAGATATCAACATTTTGTACAGCCCCTTTAAGGATGTTGATAAAATGTACAAGTTTTAAAAATATTTACACGTATTTTAATAATGATGACTCCCTGAATAGAATCCGACCTCGGCAATGTTGGATAAGTCCATTTTATGAACAGGTGGGTTAAGTTTGGTATTTCCCCCATAATCTCACAATCTTCACGCTGACTACCTGTACCTTTTCTCCCAATACCGATTTTTGGATGCGACCGTTTGGCCATTGCGTTTATCTAGAGCTACATGTATGGGGAACAACTTACGAGACACTTCCCTCTCAAAAATATTGTCGTCCAATATATGACGTCATCAAGTGGCAAGCGCATGTTCGAATCACCAGAAATGACGTCATGATAGAGCAATGTTTTATCGTGAAAAAAAACACTCTTTGTTCTTCATTGTTCTTTGCAATTTATCTCATAACTTTCTTATATATTGATATAAGTATAATTGGACATGAACACATGTGTATTATTCTCATGTAAATATACTCACTGCCAAAGAAACGCGAACCACAGAAACATATGGAGAATGACCGAATGACAAAACTAACACTCAGTCAAGTGGTACCACAGTGTCTTTATTCTTATCACGATATGCTGCACGTGATTTCCAAACTTTACACGCTAATCCTGCACGAGACAAATGGTGCATCTCGAGTCTATCTATGACGTGACATGTGATGCGTTCACGAGCGTCGGTTCACACAACATACCAGCATGTTCGTTTGTGCAACGAACCAATCTAATATTTCTTTGAGTAATTCTTTATGTATTAACCAACATGTATGGTATTTGCGTTTCTTTTGGCAGTGAGTATATATTACTGTACTATTGCAATCACTGAGCAGTGATCATTTTCAACAACCGAAATATTTTTCATAAATAATGACTCTTGTCAACAAACATCATCACCAATCACATGGCTGACTTACCAACGTAACCGTTAGGATCTCGACCATCCAAGTTGTACTTGTCGTTGAGGAAGATGGAGTCCTTGAGAGCGTCCTCCGGAGAACGGGTCCACTCGAGGATTTTCTTGGCCCAGTACATCCTCAGGAAACCGTGCATCTTTCCCTCATTCACCATCTGCAACTGGGGACCAACACACACCATACAGGAGATATAGATTTCTCACACCAGAAAAGGTTCAAACATAAGATATAACAGCCTGTTCATCATCAATGGCAGAAGGGGCACAGGTGGCCCAGTCGTCTAAGGTGCCGCGATTCGCTGTGCAGAGTTGCGTCCCTTGGGGATGCCAGAAACCTATGATTGTGAGTTCGAATCCCGGTTTGCAGATATAGAAGAGGCCTGGGGTTTGTTTCAAAAAAAGGTTGTAGAAAAAACGTAAGTCTATGTTAAGGTAAGGGCGATGTGATGGTTGTATCACAAGGGCCCATTTCACAGTGCAACTGTAGCTCTACAACCATCGTACCTCCCATACCTTATGGACTTACAGATTAGCTACGATCACTTTGTGAAACATTCCCTGCTGTTTTTCAAGGTCTGTGGTATGCTTTCGTAGCTCTACGACTATCGTACCTCCCATATCTTAACATGGACTTACAGATTAGCTACGATCATTTATGAAACATTCCCTGCTGTTTTTCCAGGTCTGCGGTGTGCTTTCGTAGCTCTACGACCATCGTACCTCCCATACCTTATGGACTTAAGTATTAGCTACGATCACTTTGTGAATCAGGCCCTGCAGTTATTCAAGGTCTGTGGTCAGGTGGGTTACAGGCGATGCTTAGCAGGTCACAGTTCGCCAAGGGTATGTTTGTTTTGTTTGTTTGTTTGTTTGTTTGTTTGTTTGTTTGTTTGTTGTTCAACGCCACACCCAGCAATATTCCAGCTATATGACGGCGGTCTGTAAATAATCGAGTCTGGACCAGACAATCCAGTGACTGATATCATGAGCATCGATCCACGCAATTGGGATCGATGACATGTATCAACCAAGTCAGCAAGCCTGACCACCCGATCCCGTTAGTCACCTTTTACGGCAAGCATGGGATGCTGAAGACCTATTTTACCCCGGATCTTCACGGGTCCCGTTAGTGTGGAGCTACACAAACAGCCATTGGATACCTGGGCAGCATTCCAGAGCTTGTCATGAGTCTTTCCGTCCTCCAGCTGCTGGCGAGAGTACAAATATGGCCGCTTGTCCCCAGCATGCAACTTCAGTGATGTCTTCGCCCAGTCGTATGCTCCTGACAAAACAAAATACGTAAGTCAGGTGCTGTTGTCAAGTTTATGCTGCAGTCCAACGACACCTTAGCAAAATTCTTTATATTCTGCAATTATTGTAACAGATAAACATGCTTCAATGATCCAAGACTTGTCACAAATGCAGGTTCTTAAAACTATTTTTCACATTGTCTCATTGGTCAGATTACCAATTACCGTATTCCACGCAATAAGCGCCCAGGGTGTCCTTGCTTTTTGCGACTGCATCAAAGGCCAACACGAGGCAGCACGCACACATTGTTTTAGCTGAAGTACTCTACTCGGCGCTAAAAAGCGGTGCTATTTGGTGTGTGATTGGATTAATGTAAGGTTGGATTAAGGTGCGGATTCTCCTGTAAACCTGACAGAGGACATTTTGTTTAGATATAAATCCACTGATGCTTGAGATGGGGGGGTGTCGCATTCATATCGAGTCGCATTTTTGGCTAGGGGCCAGCGGTGGCATTCTTTTGGAGACGCATTAATTTCACGTTTTACAGTACCTATCTCCAGTGACAGTTCCACCCCACTCTTGATTCAATTTTCTTATTAATACGTCAAGGGTTATACAGCAGTACCTTCAATGGAATCATAATGTTTGTTGTAGAAGCAGAAGTTGTCAGCCAGCTCGCGTCTCACCACTGCCTCTTCGATGAACGCGTTCACGCTCTCAGTTCCCTTGCTGCGAAACTGCTTCACAGTCAGTATACATCTCTGAACTGAGATTTGCCCTGTAATAACAGATGACACATTGTCAACACTTCAATTGAGGCAGGACACACAATCAGCCACGGCACACATTGTTAACACTTCAATTTAGGCATGATGACACACAATCAGCCAGGTCACACATTGTCAACACTTCAATTGAGGTATGACACACAATCAGCCAGATCACACATTGTTACAACTTCAATTGAAGCATGATGACACACAATCAGCCAGATCACACATTGTTAACACTTCAATTGAAACATGATGACACACAATCAGCCAGGTCACACATTGTTAACACTTCAATTGAGACATGATGACACACAATCAGCCAGGTCGCACATTGTCAACACTTCAATTGAGACATGATGACACACAATCAGCCAGGTCACACATTGTCAACACTTCAATTGAGACATGATGACACACAATCAGCCAGGTCACACATTGTCAACACTTCAACTGAGACATGATGACACACAATCAGCCAGGTCACACATTGTTAACACTTCAATTGAGACATGATGACACACAATCAGCCAGGTCACACATTGTCAACACTTCAATTGAGACATGATGACACACAATCAGCCAGGTCACACATTGTCAACACTTCAATTGAGACATGATGACAAACACTCAACCAGGACACACATTGTTAAAACTTTAATTGAGGCATGATGACACACAATCAGCCAGGTCACACATTGTTAACACTTCAATTGAGACATGATGACACACAATCAGCCAGGTCGCACATTGTTAACACTTCAATTGAGACATGATGACACACAATCAGCCAGGTCACACATTGTCAAGACTTCAATTGAGACATGATGACAAACACTCAACCAGGTCACACATTGTTAAAACTTTAATTGAGGCATGATGACACACAATCAGCCAGGTCACACATTGTCAACACTTCAATTGAGACATGATGACACACAATCAGCCAGGTCACACATTGTCAACACTTCAATTGTGACATGATGACACACAATCCGCCAGGTCACACATTGTCAAGACTTCAATTGAGACATGATGACAAACACTCAACCAGGTCACACATTGTCAACACTTCAATTGAGACATGATGACACACAATCAGCCAGGTCACACATTGTCAACACTTCAATTGAGACATGATGACAAACACTCAACCAGGTCACACATTGTTATAGCAGTGTTGTTTGCCAATGACTTGATCCTGGTGGCGGACATAGTAATTAAGCTACAGCTGAGGCGAGATGCATTGTATTTATATTGTCCTCAGTGGGGCATGGACATTAATATTGATAAAAGAAAAATTATGGTTTTCAAAATGGAAGGTCCATTATCCAAATATGAAAAATGGTTTTATAAAGGTCAAATAACGCATATGAATATTTTGGGCTTATGGTTACGCCCAAATTGGTATGGACAAGAGCTCGTAAAGCTTTATCTGAGCAAGTTAGTAAAGCTCTCTTTCCAGTTAAGTCTTTAATAAGACGTTATGAGTCATCAATTAAAGAGGCTTTTAATGTATTTGATAAGAAGATTGTACCAATATTAACACAGTGTCAACACCCTGCCTTTATTTCATTGAGCTTACCAAAATGTATCCATGGTGACAGGTTACTGACAGCATTCTTATTAGGATTGTTGCGATCAGCGTTGAAATATTTCAGTCGGTCTTTACAGAATGACTCCAGCATCTGAAGACCCCCCTTGGTTCCTGGGATGGCCCAGTCCACCTCCTTCACGGAACGGTCCACCTCCAGGCTGGCGTAGGCCGCCTCCCACTTGACAGGCTGACAATAGATTGCACAAACCATCGGTGTTTTGCTTTGTGGGTAGTGTAGTGGTCAATCTCATTAAAATCAGATCTTAGTTCTCGTTACCGCTAAACAAAGATCTGAGGATATCCCATTACGGGTCACGTCAGACCGACCTTGCGCGAACTTTGACCGACCAATGGAATGACCAATCAGAAGGAAGCTTTCTCGTGCTTTACGGCACTAATTTCAAATTGGAGACTACACTTCGAAACATATTTTGACAAATTCTTGATTACAAATTTGAAACCTGAACAAAAGAACATTCTGGAATGGCTAATAGATGGTCTAGACTGTATGGGTACTATCGTTCCGAGTTAAAGTTTTCGAGGCTGCATGATCAGAAATCACATTCCGACTGTCACTTTCATAATTTGGTAAGCGATGCTCTGATTGGTCAGATGAAAGGTCGTTCTGACGTGACCCGTAATGGGATGTCCTCAGATCTTTGTTTAGCGGTAGCGAGAATTGAGGTCTGATTTTAATGAGATTGTGTAGTGGTTAAAGCGTTTTTTCACAAAAAAGACCTTGGTTCTATTCCGAACATGGGAAACAATGTGTGAAGCCCATTTTTGGAGATATTTCTGGATTATTGCAATATGTGTTGTATATTTTGCCAAGATGGATACCAGCGGCCAGACTTGTTTTTCAAACATGTCTTAAGCTGTTAAGAATAAAACAAATTAGTCATGTCACAGATAAACTTTCAGTCCCTCAGGCCAAATGATTTTACAGAAAATCTTTCTAAAGAAACTGAATTTCTAATAATTGAACAGAAAAATTGCAAAACATTAGTAACTGACCATTTTGATATTTGAGGGGGGCGCCTTGGATTTTGTATGGACAAGAGCGACTTTTTTAGCTACATCTTCAAAACAAGATACTTTTTTTATAATTACACCTACGAGCCTTTATATTTGTTCACAAAAAACAGCTTGCAGCAAAGTATTTTTCGTTGCCGACAATTTCTTCTTGTTTTCAACAGTCACAATAATTCTTTTCAAGCAATTTGGGGGACACTTTACTTTTTTTGAAATCCTGAATATCAAATGTTCAGTGCCCCATCCTCTATATCTCCATCTCCACAGGTAGCACCACCAAGGTTCATACAGATGATGAACACTGAAATTCAAGGCCTTTTCAAGGCTTTTCAAGGCTTTCAACTGTTAGTTTCACGGCTTATTTAGTTGGGTTAACATTCAGTGTCAATATTTTATAAATTCATATATTAGTCATTAGATCTAAAAACCAGTATTAACATCAAAAATTTTCCAATAAGACTTATTTTCACGACCAACAAATAAATACATTAAGTCTGTCATGAATTTTAATACATAGAGGATATTTAATGTGTTTTCACTCGTCACTCGTGAAAATATTAGACTCTCCCCACTTCACTCGATGAGATAAAAGTGGTATTTCAGAAAACACATTGAATTTTCTATTTATTATATACATGTTTTATTTTTATTACTTGCAATTTATATATTTTTTCGAAAACAGTGTCTGATAAATTACTAATTCTCCCTGTCGCCCCTTAACCACCGCCGTATAAAGGGGGTTTGCGAAAAGAATATAGTTCGTGAATAAAACTAGCTCTGTTAATATATGTTATGCGAAATATATTATTTCATATCGAGTATTAAGTTCCGTGGACATTTTTGTTTGTCATAATTAAACATTCCTGTTTAAAATGAAAATAAAAATCATTTTCAAACAGCGATTATTTTATTGGCGTAGGAATACATAAACAGTTAGTACTGTGACCATGTCGAACGATCAGCTGAGCGCTCTCCAGGCTTACAAAATCCGCCAAATTTAATCAAATTTTCTCACAGATAAGTATGAAAGTTGACATTAACACATTTATAGAACCCCAAACATTTTAACTGAAACCTTGTTGCTTGCTGTCGTGAATTAAATTAGGAAAGTTCAATTCTCGGAAAATTCAAGCGGGCGCTTCTCGCCTCGGCGGTACGTCTCGCTGTCGCCAGTTGTGCCTAATGTCTGGCGAAAGAGTGATATTAACATTGCCATAGATGTTATTTCCAGACATCAGACTCGTCAAAAAGTTCCTGTGGTCAGTTGAAGAGAAGTTATGAGACAGTCGGCATCTGACGTAAACGTAATGTTTTGATTCAGGAGAAAGTAGTTCCGGAACCTTGTTTAGATCAGTCACTAGTGACTGATATAACTTTTTTATATCAGTCACTAGTGACTGATAACTTGATCTATCGTCACTGATAAATTCCAGTATTTCATTCATATGTATATAATAAAGTACTTTAATCAACAAGTATATGTCATTATGTACAAAGTCAAGGTTTTTCAAGCTATTTGGTGATTTTTATGACTTAGTAGCTCAGCCAATCAAATTGGCAAATGGAATCAAGGGCGGGTAATTAGGGGAGGGCCTTCAGCGGGCTTACATTCTCCGTCAAGACCAAGGGGGGAGTTTATATCCTACTTATGAACTGTCTAAACGTTCGAAGTACATGGAAAGACAAGAAAACATTGACATACCTTATAGTGAAATACAGTGTATCGAGGTATAAAAGGAATTTGCTCAAAGCGTGTGAGAGCAAAAAAACATGTGCAACCTGGACTAGATGGAGTCATGACATGATAATCTGAACAACTTCTCATCACCTGCCCCAGTAGCTCAGTGGGAAAACAGTGAGTTACAAAACTTGTGAGGTTGCAGGTTCAATTAACATCATGGAATTTTAGTGTTTTAAACAAAATTCTGACTTTAAACCAATCATCAAACACAATTGTGTTCACATCAGGAGGCAAGTTTATAAAACGTTAAATTTCACGGAATGCCTGCTTACCTGGGCAATCTGAGGGAATAACTCCTTTACAGGTTTACCGAGAATAGTCACACCTATATTTATAACAGAGTGACATCGTTAGAGGTTTATAACGTAGGTTTACGGAAATGTTAGACCTGGAGATGTAGAGGATGGGTAAAACACAATTTACCTATTATTTGTTGCGCTGCTGGCGTACTGATACCCGACAATTCTTAAAATCCAACAGCATTAACATGCGTGCATAATTACCCAGTGTAGACTATTCAGCCTCGGTACCTGTATTTTTTTAAACATATTTGGTCAATGAGACCACTCAAGTCAGCAAAAACATACGCAAATCTTACTTCAGATTTAACTGTGGCATTATGAGGGTGTTTACACACAGGTGGAAATGCAGTGAGGAATTCTGGGAGTTTTTCTGTTATTTTCTTGCGTATTGTGCGGGCTCCATATTCTAACTTGGGCGACGCCTCCCAACAAGGCACAATGTTATGAGCATCGATCTGAAAAAAATATCAATATTCTCTGGTTATGAGCTTATATTCGTTAAACAATTTTTTACTTCAAGTCACTCAAAAATACCCAATATCCCTCATTTATGCCCATTCTGGATGCCGGTCCGTGAAGATCCGTGGTAGAATAGGTCTTCAGCAACCCATGCTTGCTGTAAAAGGTGACTATGCTTGTCGTAAGAGGCGACTAAGAGGATCGGGTGGTCAGGCTCGCTGACTTGGTTGATGCATGTCATCGATCCCAATTACGTGGATCGATGATCATGTTGTCAATCACTGGATTGTCTGGGCCAGACTCGATTATTTACAGACCGCCATCATATAGCTGGAATATTGCTGAGTGCGGCGTAAAACAACAAACAAACGAAACATGGATGCCATGGGGCTCTCATCTGATCAAGGTTTTGGGTGTGGCCATAACAATTTAAATCTTAGCAATGGAAAACTGCCCAAGAACACAAACACACCTTTGATATTTCACCCTTTCGCCATTTAAAAAGTCGTCAAATGTAACAAATGTTGTATTTGGGATAACACTTTCTTAGGAAAGTATTCTTGTACTTTTTGGGGTTGAGTTCCGTCCGGGATTCGAACCAACACAGCCAGAGTGAGGCACCTAATCGCCAGCACACAAAGTCAGCGATCTAACCCACTCAGCCACCAAGGCTTCCATAAAAATGAAAGTCTGACAACTGGTAGTCTAGATCACGTACTTTGTGTACCCCTCTGACAAGCGTAAATTGGCACGGCTCCCAGAGCCGTAAGCTATAAACACACAATGCCATTTAGAAAGTGGTCAAATGTAGCAAATGTTATATTTGGGATAACACTTTCTTAGTAAAGTATTCCTGTACTTTTTGGGGTTGAGTTCCATCCGGGATTCAAACCCACACTGCAAGAGTGAGGCACCTAATCGTCAGCACACAAAGTCAGCAATCTAACCCACTCAGCCACCGAGGCTTCCACATAATGAAAGTCCGACAACTGGTAGTCTAGATCACGTACTTTGTGTACCCCTCTGACAAGCGTAAATTGGACCGGCTCCCAGGGCCAAAGATATAAACACACAATGCCATTTAGAAACTGGTCAAATGCAACAAATGTTATATTTGGGATAACACTTTCTTAGTAAAGTACAGATTCTCGTACTTCTTTGGGTTGAGTCCCATCCGGGATTCGAATCCACACTGCCAGAGTGAGGCACCTAATCGCCAGCACACACTTTGTCAGAGGGGTACGCAAAGTACGTAATCTAGACTACCAGTTGTCGGACTTTCATTTTGTTTCCAGCTTCGTTAATTAATTCACCCATACATTATAGGTTAACCAGCATGCAAGCGTTGTGACCTAGATGTTAGGAGGCCACCATGGTGATGTGAGGTATGTACGGGGGAATTAATATTAGACGCTGGAAACCTATATTTCAGACACATTTCCACTTCGGATCGAAAGAAGGAGTATTTGTGAGATAGGAAAAGTTCATTAATATACAATTTATTGTAAAACTTTCAATCTTATCGTATCGGAGTAAAACGAGATTGATACGATCCCAGCCCTCATCACCCAAATACAGGGAATTTCAAACCTTGTTCTTTAGGTCTGAACAGCATTACCGGTGTAAGCTGCCAAAATCTACCCACCTTTCAGAGTATACACGGGTAAATAGTCCACCCGGAGGGGGTATAATCTGGGAGTTCCCAGAATCTACCCCGGTGTAGATAATAATAAATTGTTATCGAATCCCGAAATTCAAAATGTTGTTTTATACATGCAAAGAAGAATTAAATATTGTTTAACTAATCAAAAATATCTTACAAGTCACATTGACTTTAACTCATTGTAGTCATCATCAATTTGTAAGTTCAAAAGTTGGTGTTGAGGAAATGTCTTACACTGTCGTACAATGTCATTGAATAAGCTTTAATGTGCTTTGTGAATAGATCTAACTTTACATCGGTATACTGCAATATGCTGTTCAAACAATACATATTACAGTATTTTTTCTGTGTTCTCAGGGCTTGATTTAATTATATAAAACACGCACAAGTGCAAACAATTATTTAAAAACATAAGTTAGATCAAGTTCCTTAAACAGAGCTCTGGTTCCTGTGTATTGGATAAGTGAGTGAGTGAGTGAGTTTGGTTTTACGCCGCTTTTAGCAATATTCCAGCAATATCACGGCGGGGGACACCAGAAATGGGCTTCACACATTGTACCCATGTCGGGAATCGAACCCGGGTCTTCGGCTTGACGAGCGAACGCTTTAACCACTAGGCTACCCGACCGCCCCGTGTATTGGATGAAATGTAATTACCATATTCAACGTAATAAGCGCCCCGCTCTAATAAGCGCCTAAGGCGATATTTGTTAATATATTGGCTAGTGAACAATCCCAATTAGCACCCTTCGGATTGATCAATGTACACAAGACTTATTTATTCATGTATAATACGCACTCGTGTGTTATATGCACCCTTAATTACGGGCAATTAAATTCGGGAAAAATATATCTGTCGTGTGTGATACGCACAGACTTTTCTTTCTTATCATTTCAGGCTGTAAGCATAAACCACAAAATTTACAATCTTTCAACTCTTTCACCAAAATCATATTCTAATAAGAGCCCCCTATTTCTAATTTTGAGAGCGCCCTGGGCGCTTATTACGTCAAATACAGTAGTTGTTATTTGTATTGTTTAACCTAAAATCGACACAGAAATTCATTCACAAATTATGTTTCCCCTGGAAAATTGATTGACAAAATGGCTGAAATGCAGACGCCATTTTTCTTTCACATTATCTAAATGTACATTAACTGTGTCAATCACTGTGAAACACCTTAACTTCCAATATAATACAGTTACGCGATAAATCGCAAAGAACAATGAAAAGCGAAGCGTGGTTTATTTCACGATAAAACATTGTTCTATCATGACTTCATTCTTGAAGCATCGAACATGGGCTCGCAACTTGAAGACGTCGTAAATTTGACGTTATTTTTTTATTGGGAAGTGTCTAGTGAGATGTAACTGGGCTATGCAGATAAATGCAAATGCTGAATGATCGCTTCCAAAAGTAATATGACAATTAGTATTGGGAGAAAAAGTACAGATAAACGACGTGAAAATTGTGAAAATATGCAGGAAAGACCGAATTTAACACCCCTGTTCATAAAATGGACTTGTCCGACAGGTTGGATTCTATTCAGGCAGTCATTATTATTTAAATACGGGTAAATATCTTTAAAGCGTGTACTTGTTCACTAACATCCTTAAAGAGGCTGTGCGTAATGTTGATATCTGAAATAGAAAGCGACAACTTGTGGTTGTCGTTTATCGTACAATAAAACACAGAAGGGAAAACAAGAAAGAAGTGAGCAAAGCTCACATACCCCCGTTATCCCCGCTGGTCAACAACAAATAGTAAATAGTTTGTTAATTAATGAAATATACCTGTTGCTTTAAGTCAGAGGAACTGCCCTTCCCTTTGTAACCCCATGAGGATGCATTATGTTTGAAATGAACACATGTTTTAGCAAATATATTTCAATCTAGTTAAGTGTGGGATAATCAATGCTTAACACAACATACATTCTTGATGTTTCTTAATGTGTCCATGGAAACGGCAAAAATTAAAAAGTTCAGAATCTTCAAACTAGCAAAAGGCACAAGTACTCATTGTGGTTAATGTGTGTAGCAAGTTTGGTGAAGATAGGGTGCATGGTTAAAAAGTTATGGGCCGTACAAAATGCTCGGACAGAAGGACAGACAGATGGACGGTAGGACGGACAGACGGAACGCTATAAACCCCCAATTTACTTCGTTAACGGGGGTATAATAAACAACTGCAACCCTAGTGTATGATAAACAACGACCATGAGTCATTTATTTCTTATATATATTGCAATACAACTACTTTTCCAAACCACAGCCTTACTGTTCTTATTTGGGTGCTTCTGTGGAGACCGCACCTACCTGACACATTGGGATATCTTTCGGCAGCCTCTCTTTCACATCAGTGACCCAGGCCATGGGGGTACGCAGCGGGGCAAAGTCAGTGACCACACCACCTATGTTGTTGTCCTTAACGAAGTCCGGCAGGACATCCTTCGCGTAGCCGATCAGCAGGTGAAATGATATGTTCAGTGTCTTACACTCCTGGAAGAGAAATACACAGAAATAAAGCATTCCTTCTAGAGACCTGGACAGGTTGTGACACCAGGACAGGTGGTGACACCAAGACAGAGACTGTGACACCAAGACAGATAGTGACACCAAGACAGAGATTATGACACCAAGACAGAGACTGTGTCACCAAGACAGAGATTGTGACACCAAGACAGATAGTGACACCAAGACAGAGACTGTGACACCAAGACAGAGACTGTGACACCAAGACAGGTTGTGACACCAAGACAGAGACTGTGACACCAAGACAGATAGTGACACCAAGACAGAGATTATGACACCAAGACAGAGACTGTGTCACCAAGACAGAGATTGTGACACCAAGACAGATAGTGACACCAAGACAGAGACTGTGACACCAAGACAGATAGTGACACCAAGACAGAGACTGTGTCACCAAGACAGAGACTGTGACACCAAGACAGAGATTGTGACACCAAGACAGATAGTGACACCAAGACAGAGACTGTGTCACCAAGACAGAGACTGTGACACCAAGATAGAGATTGTGACACCAAGACAGAGACTGTGACACCAAGACAGAGACTGTGACACCCAGACAGAGACTGTGACACCAAGACAGAGACTGTGACACCAAGATAGAGACTGTGACACCAAGATAGAGACTGTGACACCAAGACAGAGACTGTGACACCAAGACAGAGATTGTGACACCAAGACGGAGACTGTGACACCAAGACAGAGACTGTGTCACCAAGACAGATACTGTGTCACCAAGACAGAGATTGTGACACCAAGACAGAGACTGTGACACCAAGACAGAGATTGTGACACCAAGACAGAGATTGTGACACCAATACAGAGACTGTGACACAAGACAGAGATGAATGTCAGAGTGGGGGTCTCCTACCTGTTCCACTTCCTGGAGTCCCGTGAGCATGAAGCCGAACTGCCGAATCGTAGCCTCCAGGAACCGTGGCACCAGACAGAAGCAGACGTGAAGTGGCACCTCCATCTTTAGGGCCAGACGCTGAGCGTACAGGAAGGCCCAGTTGTCTGGCAATAGAGAAGAGCTATTTATTATATACTTCAGTGAGAGAGACCGAGTTTTCAGAGGTTGAGAAAAGTGATATTTCTAAGAGTTACCTCCCCTTAAATTGTTTCCCTTTTAAGTAAGTGACTAGCCCGTACACAAACTGTTGACGTTCTTTTTACTATCGAGTCGATGCAAAGTCCAATCAAAATCGAGTAACGAAATCAACATCGGTTCGTCAAACTGCTGTGCAGATTTCGGTCAACTGCAGGATATGCAAAGCATGTGTACCATCAACTCAGCGTGATTTGATGCACTTCACAAAATAAGACCCATTTTATTACAACATAGATCTTGATTATCGATCAGATCGTCTTCACTGGGTGCCGCCATTGTGTTTGAAGCAAATGCAAGTGATATGAGAGGTGGAATCTGATTGGTCAGTGGGAGGGACACAGAAGGGACATAACTTGTAATAACCACTGGTGGCGCTACAATCGGACCCAGAAATTCCAGCCTAGTTCAACAAGGGGGGAAACTGGACTTTTATAGTCAGTTAACTCCCTTGCCACGGGAAGATGATCAACTCTCTGTCCCCCTATATGTCAACCTATCATGTTATCTGGTCCAATACACAACACCGATACACACCTTGTACTCTCTGATCCCTTGACATCCAATACTCAACACCAATACACACCTTGTACTCTCTGATCCCTTGACATCAATACACACCTTGTACTCTCTGATCCCTTGACATCCAATACTCAACACCAATACACACCTAGTACTCTCTGATCCCTTGACATCCAATACTCAACACCGATACACACCTTGTACTCTCTGATCCCTGGACATCCAATACACAACACCATTACTCACCTTGTACTCTCTGATCCCTGGACATCCGATACACACCTTGTACTACCAAGTCCCTTGCCATCCAATACACACCGTGTACTCTCTGATCCCTTGACATCCAATACACAACACCAATACACACCTTGTACTCTCTGATCCCTTGACATCCAATACTCAACACCAATACACACCTAGTACTCTCTGATCCCTTGACATCCAATACTCAACACCGATACACACCTTGTACTCTCTGATCCCTGGACATCCAATACACAACACCATTACTCACCTTGTACTCTCTGATCCCTGGACATCCGATACACACCTTGTACTACCAAGTCCCTTGCCATCCAATACACACCGTGTACTCTCTGATCCCTTGACATCCAATACACAACACCAATACACACCTTGTACTCTCTGATCCCTGGACATCCAATACACAACATCAATACACACATTGTACTCTCTGATCCCTTGACATCCAATACACACCTTGTACTACCAAGTCCCTTGCCATCCAATACACACCTGGTACTCTCTGATCCCTGGACATGCAATACACAACACCAATACACACCTTGTACTCTCTGATCCCTGGACATCCAATACACAACACCAATACACACCTTGCACTCTCTGATCCCTGGACATCCAATACACAACATCAATACACACATTGTACTCTCTGATCCCTTGACATCCAATACACACCTTGTACTACCAAGTCCCTTGCCATCCAATACACACCTGGTACTCTCTGATCCCTGGACATCCAATACACAACACCAATACACACCTTGTACTCTCTGATCCCTGGACATCCAATACACAACACCAATACACACCTTGCACTCTCTGATCCCTGGACATCCAATACACAACACCAATACACACATTGTACTCTCTGATCCCTGGACATCCAATACACAACACCAAAACACACCTAGTACTCTCTGATCCCTTGACATCCAATACACACCTTGCACTCTCTGATCCCTGGACATCCAATACACAACACCAACGCACACACCTAGTACTCCCTGATCCCTTGACATCCAATACACACCTTGTACTCTCTGATCCCTGGACATCCAAACACAACACCAATACACACACTGTACTCTCTGATCCCTGGACATCCAATACACAACACCAAAACACACCTAGTACTCCCTGATCCCTTGACATCCAATACACACCTTGCACTCTCTGATCCCTTGCCATCCAATACACACCTTGCACTCTCTGATCCCTGGACATCCAATACACACCTTGTACTCTCTGATTCTTGGACATCCAATACACAACACCAATACACACTGTGTACTCTCTGATCCCTGGACATCCAATACACAACACCAATACACACCTTGTTCTCTCTGATCCCTGGACATTGATACATAACACCAATACACACCTTGTACTCTCTGATCCCTGGACATCGATACACACCTTGTACTCTCTGATCCCTGGACATCCAATACACAACACCAATACACACCTTGTACTCTCTGATCCCTTGACATCCAATACACAACTTGTTCTCTCTGATCCCTGGACATCCAATACACAACACCAATACACACCTTGTACTCTCTGATCCCTGGACATCCAATACACAACACCAATACACACATTGTACTCTCTGATCCCTTGATATCCAATACACACCTTGTACTCTCTGATCCCTGGACATCCAATACACAACACCAATACACACCTTGTACTCTCTGATCCCTGGACATCCAATACACAACACCAATACACACCTTGTACTCTCTGATCCCTGGACATCCAATACACAACGCCATCGCAGTCATCGGGGAACTCTTTGGCTGCTGACAACACTCTCACTCTTTTCTTGTTGAATTTGAACTTACAAACAGATTCACAAACAGACTGACGATTTTCTGTGATATCATTTAGAAAATCAACAGATGTTTTGCTTGTTTCTGCTTTCAACCTTTTTTCAGGACTCCCAGAATCTTCTTCGGCTTTTCTTTTCAACTTATTGGACTTTCCATTCCCACTCATTTTGGAAGAAAGTCCCACAAGGTACAAGATAGGAACTGAGCTGAGTTGATGTGTTAAATGTAGACCCTGTCTTGATCTAAGCTGACCCGTCCCACAATGAATCAGTTTGGCACAGCTCCACATACAAGATTGTCTGCAAAAGAAACATCATGTATCTGACTTCATAATGTGACAGACAGTTAATGATCCTATCATCAAGAATCTAATGAAACTATATTTTCCTGTTGATTAAAATTTTAATCGTACCCTAATTACACAATGACAATCAAAACCTAACGGTCCTCAGTGTGAAGATCAGGGGTAGAATAGGTCGTCAGCAACCCATGTTTGCTTGTCATAAGTGGCGACTAACAGGATCGGGTGGTCAGGCTCGCTGAGTTGGTGGCTGCATGTCATCGTATCCCATTTGCGTGGATCGATGTTCATGATGTCAGTCAATGGATTGTCTGGTCCAGACTCAATTATTTACTCAATTTTATTTAATCTATGCAACTGGGATATGATGTGATACCATGACATGCATCAACCGACGTCAGCAAGCCTGACCGCCTGATCCCGTTTGTCGCTTTGCTATGCTTACTGTAAATATGGTACACGGCATCAGATGAATCATTTCATTATTATAACATAATGAGTGAGTATGGTTTTACGCCGCTTTTAGCAATATTCCAGCAACATCACGGCGGGGGACACCAGAAATGGGCTTCACACATTGTACCCATGTCGGGAATTGAACCCGTGTCTTCAGCGTGACAAGCGAACGCTTTAACCACTAGGCTATCCGACCGCCCCTATAACATAATGATATCACATAATTATAATATTGCCCTATTAATAATTGGTGAAGAAAGAAGTTTAAAAAATTTTATTTTATTATTTTTATTACAATTGTTTTTTCAAAACATTGTAATATTGTTTGATAGGCATTACTAATAATGTAATATCGACATTGTATTGAGCTCTGAGTCAAGGAAAGAGGGATTAATTCTTGTTTCCATGCGGCATGACTTTCTTGGGAATTGGAAGGGTCAGATCTCATATTGATTCGTATCGTAAACAAAATATGCAACGCCGCCCTTGTTATGATGTATTTTCGCTGCATTGCAAGACTTGCATCAGCTGGCTGATATACTCAGATAGATGTCATGCATTGACACGGTGATAATATATTCCCCTTCTGTACCAAAATCTTGTGAGCGATCGGGGCCTTTACGATACCCATGCGATGTGAACCATTGCTTTCTTTGCCGATTTATACATACCACACAAAATCCTTCACAAAACCTATACACAATCACATTCGTAAACAAACACTTTTGTAAACACGTTATGCAACACGGTCGAAGTCCCGCGTTTGCTTGGTCTCTACATTATGATTGGTTGATTGACTTCTCGTGATAATGAATGTGGTTTCCGGTTTTGCGAGACTGACAGCGTAGATCTAGTGTTTGTGTTCGATCTGTCTAGTACAGGATTTTCGGAAAACAGAGACAATGACTATCTACAAGACTCTACAATCAGACAAGAAGGATGAAAAGTCTCCCGAGGAGGCTGCCGTTGTCATGGAACCCCTGGTAAATAGACACTCTTGAAAACAAACCTACTCCGAATTATTATTGTAGGCAAATTACAAATGGCGAATACGGAATAGGCAAGATCTAATTTGACCTAGATCTAAATTATTTGATACTTTGAGTAATGGTTGTGCTGTCAGTTACAGTGCGATAACACTGAGGAACTAGGTCTATCATTACATACAATATTGAATTATATTATGCAAACGAAGTGAAAAATATTATTTATGCTAAGTTCTGCAACAACAATTTTTATATTCAGTCCTGTTGGTAAACAGCGAAGCGTAAAACTAATATTTTAATTATCATCCTGATTAATAGACCGAGTTCCGTTTTGAAATTTCGTCTTTCTATTTTCGTGACAATGTCATCACAAGAATGGCACAAATGCCTTCCAGACCTCAATTATATGGTAGGCCTATATTTTCCATATACAAATTACAAAATATATTTTCTCGAAATAGTTTGCTACCAACCTAGTGATGAAGGAGGGTTAAGGGATGTAGGGTGCTTTTGAATTAGCCTAATCTTGTTAACATATGAAAATATTTTTTAAAAACTTCCTTAATCATTTGGTAGCATGTAAAAATCATAATAATTTCACTCATTTTGGCTTACATGTTACACAAATTGTTTTCTTATTGAATATCTAGTGTTTACAGTGTAGCACCAACTCCCACCCACTCTGAGAAAAGCTGTGTTCCGACTTTCAACCATACTATCATTTTATCCCAGCAACTTAGAATATACATGATATAAGTCTTTTAAACCTACTATTCTGAATCTGTTTTTGTCAAATACTGTATCGATCCATCAAGTTTATGTACGGCGTAGATCCATCAGGCAGTTAATGATATCTCATGGTAATTACCCTGGTACACAAAGACGATGTCTCCGTTTCACACATGGCACTAATTACATTGTCTAGACACAGACTTGGACTGGCTCCACACCATGAAGCATAGAATTATTTGTCCCTGTGATGCTAGAAGAGGTCTGTTTTATATCATGCCAGGTGTGTTTATTGATTGTTAGTGTATATTGTAGATATAGAGAATCTCACCTGAGTGTCTTTTGATATCAAATATATCAACACGAGTTGATAAAAGTGGGAAAACTCCGAGGCTTGCCGAGGATTTTTTTCCACTTTTATCAACGAGTGTTGATATATTTGATATCAAAAGACACGAGGGTGAGATTATATTTATCATCCAACACCATTCTTCCAACTTTTTCAACTTGTAGACAGTAATTAGCAGTGTCTTCAGTGTAAAAAGTACTGCTAACAGCTTCAGTAGCAGAGCCATTAGTGATGTCATTTGATTGTGACGTCATGGTAACCAATGACGTCACAATGGTCTGCAAAGCATTGTGATGCAATTTCATTGCAGCGATATCTACAGTGTAGATATCGCTTGTTATCATATAATGGGTAGGTTTCTCGGCAGGATAAAGCCAACGGATAAAAACGATATCCGTTGGGGTCATATGCGGATAGAGATGCAAATATCAAAGGTCAAGTAGGGACTACTTTCACTGTTTATAAACAAACATGGCGTCGCCCTTGTCATTCGGCGATCGAGTCAGAATTAACCATCGAGAATCTGGGTAAACTACAGGGATAATTGCTATCATTATCAAAAGAACAGTCTAATATACTGAAAATCTGTGTCTAACTGTGACGTAGCTAAGGCATTTTATAAGTTTTGTCAACTTTGGAGATATAAATTTCAAAACAATTTGGCGAGGGCACGAGGCCTAGCCAAGCGGGATCAGTAGCCATATCTGTGCTTGTAGACCTCTGCGGCTTGAAACCTCCTCCACAAATTAAAATAGTTGGATTTGGCGGAAATATGTTTGAATTGTTACCTTGTTTCGTTTTGTCGCTGTGTGTACATCTGACTACACTTCTTATTGTAATGACAGGACAGACCGACTGTCAACAACGTCTGACCGTGGCCGTGACGTCTCATAGACTAGGGTTAGAGTAGCTTCCCTTTGACAAAGGGCAGTTACTCTAGCGGACAGACCGATGGATTGCCGCGAAAGGCAATTAAAAACAATTCTTGTTTTGCGTATATGTTGCTTCGCCACTGTATAAGAAACAGATTTCAGTTGGAACTATATTGGCTACTGTCACTGTCCGACTGACACATCACTTACCCTGTGACGTAATAAATATTAATGCGCGCATTCCAGGAAAACTCGCAATGTTTCGGTAATGTTTGTGAGAGAGGGAAAGCGATTTTGAAGCACAGAATTACAGAATGACATTGTATGATAAAGAGGTTATCACGCTTGTGTGTTTGAGGATGGTAAATATCCTGTATTAGGAATAAACACTATGTATTTAGCTCGCCAAGGCTCGCTAAATACAATGTTTATTCTTAATGCAGGATATTTACCATCCCCAAACACACTCGCGTGATAACCTCTATATCTTACCCAAGCCATATCTCCTGTGGGAGCCAGTTTTGGATGATAAATGCACTTCTTACGCATACTAGAGTGACCAGTCTTATTCAGTGATAATTGTAAATGATAGAGTTTCTGATGAAAGTCATGCTAAGCAATGTTCTAATTTAACAATAACATAAGTCCACTTGTTCATGACTAGTAAAATTAATGGACGACTAGTAACATTTCCTTGTGGACTACCACCTTCCATTAGATACACAGCATCTCTGTAGCAGAATGTTTTTGGACAATTGGAAATATATTTTAATTTCTAACCCTCTTTAGCAGTGCTTTGTGAAAAAAATGGTACATGGAATTAGATTAATTATTTCATTTTGGACTCCCTATTGCAAATTTTGCCAGTATATATGAACTTCCATTTATATCAGTCAGGGAATGAAGTATGCAAATTGCCACAAGCCCATACGATGGTTGGGCCCATGTCTATTCGCCTACTGTGACGATTGCCTACAGTAAAGCTGGTTTTTAGTGCACTTTGCCTACACTTTGAAAACTGCATCCCTTACATTAATTGTGGACCAGTCCAAAGTATTTTGTATGTTATTTTAACTTACTCTCGGTTTGTAAACCGAGAGGCTTTGAAATGTGTAGTTCTTTATATATTAACTCTCAACACCTAGTATATGAAAGGGGAGCTCTATGCATTTTCTTAAGTAATTAATCCTTTGTAGAATGAAAAAATAGTTGTGTTAATACTTCATAGTCATGCTGAACCCCATTAGCACCCAATGAGCAAACCAATTATGTAAAAGACTAAAACAAACATCAAATTTTCAAATGAAAGACGATAAGATTAACTGACTTAACTATTAACTAGATTACCTACTCAACACCTGTAACAGAATATAATGCCACAGCAGGACTAAATGAGAACTGTCGATCTAAGATTGTGATCAATGTCTGCAAGCAGTGTCTTATATGTATCAGTGTCAGTGCTAATTAAGTATTGTAAGGGTCTTTCAATGTTAGGTAGTTTTCAGTGTTAAAAGTGTATTTCGTATAATTTTATTGGTTTTATTTTTCATTTCCGTCTCTCATTGTTGCTCTATCTTTTCTAAAAGGAGTAGGGAAATCCTGCAGTGTAATTTCATTATCTAATATATCAGAATGCAACCAGGTTTCTGTGATGCAAATAATATCTTAATCATGAAATTCGATATAAATTATTTCAGTTTCGTCTTTCAACAGTAGGCACAGTAAAAAAATTGTGAGAAATAATATCAAAGAATATTTCCCAAGAAGAGACCAAGATCATTTATTATCAGTATTTTATCATGTTACTACATATACAATAAACTGCAAGTATAAAATTCAAAGCTACAGATAAGCCGCGTATTTGTGTAAAATACCCCTCAAATCTATTTACAACCCAATTACTTTCAATTAACTTGCATATAGAAACACATGCATTAAATGAAAAACTCAATTGTTTGAAAACAGCCCGTGTAAATACCTAATGAAGCTTTTTCAGCATGCGTACAACGGAGCTAATTACCAAAACACAATTACGAGCTAATTTAGTTTCTGAGTCAAGCCTATATTTAGAACTGTTATACATCTGAAACAAACATTCTTTCATTTTTTTTCAATCTCAAAATGCTGACTCATTTTTTGGAAAAACCCAATAGAGTGATGAATAGATGAGTGAAAAAATATTGGTAACCCAATGAAAAATGTAATAACCCAATTAAAACAGAAACCATTGTAGTTTAGGTGTGAAGGTTTTGCTGATGCTATTGTGTTCCTGGAACCATGAAGTTGTTTGATAAGACTTTAGGCAATAGGAGAAGGGGACCTATTGTTTGTAATAGGGAGTGCAGTCAGGCGTACGGATTGGATAGACAATAGAAGGTGGCTGCAGGCATTGGTCATCTCAAAACATTTATTTCCATTGTACATTCGGACATATCATTTTTACATCAATTGTCATATAGAAATTTGTATCTTATATTAGATAACCTTTTGTACATCATACAGACATATATACATTTCATATCAATAGAATTCTACACAATACATCATTAAGATCACACATACCGTATTCGATGTAATAAGCGCCCCGCTCCAATAAGTGCCCACAGCAATATTTGCTAATATATTGGCTAGTGAACAATCCCTATTAGCACCCCTTCCAATTGATCAATGTACACAAGACTTATTTATTCGTGTATAATACGCCCTCATGTGTTATATGCAACCTTAATTATGGGCGGTTAAATTCTGGAAAATATATCTGTCGTGTATAATACGCACAGACTTTTCTTTTGTATCATTTCAGACTGTCAGCATAGGCCACAAAATTTACAAACTTTCAACTCTCTTTTTGTTTTTCTCACCAAAATTATATTCTAATAAGAGCCCCCTATTTCTAATTTTGAGAGTGCCCTGGGTGCTGTTTGCGTCGAATACGGTATATACAAAACATCACAGACGTTACCCACAAGATTGTTATGTTGGTTGTCATGGTTATAAGACAATGAAAGACTGAACATTTGCAATAAAGTATCAGGAATCTGACAATGGATAGAATATTAAGCAAAAAAATATAAAAATTGATAATGGATGCCTATGATTTGCATTGTGTGTCTGTGGGATGGAAGAAGGTAGATTTCTTTCTTCACTCTAACATTGAGATCCCCATCTTTAACATGTTTAACATGGTTTAGGTTACTGAGCATTTGTAGTCATGACGAGTGATGGGTATTGGCCTGACTTTTCAACTTATTGCAATAATGATTTATGTATTGCGATGCGTACCACAATATGTTCCATACATTCTTTCATCTGTAATTTGGGGGCGGTTGGGAAGCCTAGTGGTTAAAGTGTTCACTCGTCATGACGAAGTCCCGAGTTCAATTCCCATCATGGGTACAATGTGTGAAGCCCATTTCTGGTGTCCCCCGTCGTGATATTGCTTGAATCTTGATAAAAGCGGCGCATTACCTCACTCACTCACTCACTCACTCACTCACTCACTATTACCTCACTCACTCACTCACTCACTCACTCACTCACTCACTCACTCACCTTTAATTTGGTATGAACCTAAATGAAAATAACCCAAATGGCTTGAAGTTTTTGGAAATTCCAAATGGGCCAATACATCAGACTTCCCCAGCATTTATTTGACAACATCTTGACAAGTTTGTTTCATGCATAATAGAAACATATATACAGGAAGCTGATCGTAATAGTTCACTTTTTCAATAACAGGAAACAGTTGCTAATTTCTGTATTTCATAATTTTAATTTGACTTTTGTCTTAAATGTAAAGTTGGCCAACAAGAAAATATGCATGATTTTGAAAAACACAATATACCTGAATTTTACATACACATTTTGATACATATTCATTAGTATTTCAAATTGTTATATACTGGTGACACCATGCATCTCTTGTCATGATATCTGTAAAAAATTTGAAAATCAAGTAGAGCATGCCACTGAGTCTAGGACTCAAATATAGTCCATCCCAGGTAAAGTCCCTGCAAATATTAGGTTTTTCAAATAGCACTCAAGAATAGTCCACCGCAGGTAAAGTCTGTGCAAATATTAGGTTTTTCAAATAGCACTCAAGAATAGTCCACCGCAGGTAAAGTCTGTGCAAACATTAGGTTTTTCAAATAGCACTCAAGAATAGTCCACCGCAGGTAAAGTCTGTGCAAATATTAGGTTTTTCAAATAGCACTCAAGAATAGTCCACCACAGGTAAAGTCTGTGCAAATATTAGGTTTTTCAAATAGCACTCAAGAATAGTCCACCGCAGGTAAAGTCTGTGCAAATATTAGGTTTTTCAAATAGCATTCAAGGATAGTCCGTTCCAGGTAAAATCCCTGTAAATATTAGGTCTTTCAATTCTTCCAAATCTTTCAAATATGTTAGGATATTTTAATATTCCCATTAATTGATAAGACTAGCATACATTCGATTGTATGATTGACATCATGTGCATCGATCTACAGAATTGGGATATGATGACATGCATCAACCAAGTCGACGAGCCTAACCACATGCTCCTGTAAGTCGTCACTTACAGCAAGCATAGTCTCCTCTTATGACAAGCAAGGGTAGCTGAAGACCTATTCTCTACCTGGATCTTCACAGGTCTCATTTCTAGTGCATAATTGATATATAATTGTACCAAATCAACAATTCAGCAGCACTTTAAATCATGTCAGGATTCAGAATAGGTCCCCCCAATCTTTGCTTGTCACACAAGGTGATTAGGTGGATTGAGTGGTCAGTTTTGACCCTGTGTCATCATACCCCAATGGTGTAGGATGATGCTCATGATATCAATCACTGTTTTGTCTCATCCATACTCAGTTATTTACAGACCTCTCTGATAGCATCACCTTTCTACTTTGAATGTGTTTTCCAACTTCATTATTACAATGAATCTATTTTGTTTTCTTTCAGACAGGGGAAAGGGAAGATGTCGTGACTCCCAAAGTTGTTCGAGTGACATATGGACCACATCAGACAAGGACCTACGTCAACTTGTGCTTGATAATTGCAGCCCTGATTGTGTTAGGAGCTGGCATCATTGGTGCCATATTTCTTTACAGGCACCTGTCTCACAGAGTAAGTCAGTCATTAATTGCCTTGGATAGAAATTCACTTTTTGGTTTCCAAATTTCTTAGTTTGTCACAAGCTGTTTAAAGTATGATGAGTTACCTGAGTAGGGGTATTAGGATTCACTGGCATATTCTATGGATCAAACCGTAGCCTTTCATGAATTTGAATTTGTTATTCTCAGTCATTTGAGTCGAATATTTAAGATTATTTTTTTTAAAGATTTTTTTTTTTCTTGAACATGTCTGTTATATATATCAAAGCGAGATATGCAAAATGGAATAAATACAAGCCACACAGTAGCATAGTTTGCAAAGGTACTTATGGTATTGTCAATCAAAACATTAGGCTGGCTATAAGCGGTATTGTCGCGATGTATTGCTTGTTTGCTTTACAAAAACTATCAAATTTTTCAACCTCAGCAATAACATGATGTAATAAACTTATGTTTTACACTGAAACAATGTTTTTTCCCCAATGTAATCACATTTCCAGCTGATTACTGAGAGCACGTGACACCAGAAATACAGTCAACAAATTCAAACTACATTAAGCAATTTAATCCTATTATTTCACTATTTGGTTATCAAAACATGTTCATTGTATATCTGGACATATGTTTGTAAGTTTGTATATTTTATTAGTTATATTCAAAATTTCATTCAATATTGTTTACATTAATTTCGGAGAAATCGTGCACCGACTCACCGTTATTTACAGTAACCATGATCAGATTACTGCTATCGGGGCAGCGGGTAGCCTAGTGGTTAAAGCGTTCGCTCGTCACGCTGAAGACCCGGGTTCGATTCCCGACATGGGTACAATGTGTGAAGCCCATTTCTGGTGTCCCCCGCCGTGATATTGCTGGAATATTGCTAAAAGCGGCGTAAAACCATACTCACTCACTCAGATTACTGCTATCAACACCTTAAAACAAATCTCAGTTGTCACAGAATGGATACACATGATTTTTAACTGTCCATCTCACACTGCATTTCTTCTTTCCTTCTTTCTCTTTTGGGGGCACGGGTGGCCCAGTCGTCTAAGGCGCCGTGATTCACTGTGCAGAGTTGTGTCCCTTGGGCACGCCAGAAACCAATGATCGTGGGTTTGAATCCTGGTTCGCCCTGATTATGTTTCTAGGTTTGTCAGCACCATACCCGTGCTCGTGGGTTTCACTGAAGTGGTAAACGTCTGAGACCTGCATCACTTTGGGCTTTCCTCCCACATTAAGCTGACACGCCATGATATAACCATGATAGCTGGAATACTGTTAAAAGCGGCGTTAAACCCATCTCACTCACTCACTCACTCACTCACTCACTCACTCTTTCTTCTTTCGATCCTATATGGACACGTGCTTGAACAAAGTTTCCAGCTTCTTAAAACAAATTCCACGAACACATCCCAGCATCACCATGGTCACCACCCTTGAAGGATTTGACCTTCCCTGTACCCCATGTTGTTTTAGACAACTTAATGGGGTATAAGGTTCTTATAGTGTGTGACTTGACTGATGACATCAGACCCAGATGTTTGTTCTTGTTGTTTTATCTTTGTCTGCTTGTGATGGACTTACAAGCTGAAAACAGGAATTTACCTAGACCTGCTCACAAGCCAATATTTGCCCCCAAGTCTGCAGCAAATGTCTGTAAAATTCATAACTTATTGGCCAATTATCCAGGTCGCCTTATATACGGAGTATAGGATTTTGGGTTGATTTTGAAGGCGTGTGCAGGGGGGTCGTCTTATACGTGGGGTCGCCTTATACACAGCGATATACGGTATAACTTATGTTATGGTTTTGTTGAGGTGACTGTATTTTGCTAATCAAAGGACAAGAAAAATTGAATGAATGAATGTTAAAATACCTTTTATGAAAATAAGAACTTAAGAAAATCAAGGGTTGAAGGCCGCTTAGTTTGGAATCCTAGAAATTACCTTGTCTTGAACATCACTCACTCACTCTTTCTCTATTCCACACAGGTAATCACAGCCAGGTGTGGAGTCACCTACTACGATGAGATCTATCACCAGCAAGCTGACTTCCTTAGAGGTCGGGACCCTGTTTCAATTGACCTCACACGAGAGGATTATGACGTGGGTTTCAAGTTTGATTTCTTTGAGGAGAATGTGGAAGTATCGGAGGCTGACAGCTATGAAAGACTGCAGGTGCCCAAGTTCGACGAGTGCGATGAGACCGACGTATGGCATGATTTCCAACAGGTAATCAGTGGTAGCAAAAGCTAATGCATCTACGAGCCCTGATATATTCTACGAAATTATCATGTGAACATATGGGGTTTTTGTGCCAGCAATTATTTAAGACCGAAATAAATGTCAATGACCTTGGCATCAGACTGGGTAAGCAGTTGCATTTGTTAAGAAGTCTAGAATACATTTACGTGCTGTTTCAATTAGGAGATAAACATACTGTGTTTTCAATGTAGAGCAAGGTTACCTGTAGATTTAACCATGCTCAATAGAATATAGAACCAAACGAGCAGGGTTGAGTCCTGTGTTTTGAGTGGTTTTTCGATCTGAATTAAGGAATCACCAACAAGGGCCTTTAAACAAAATTTGATGCTGTATATGCTCAAGCAGTTTGTTTACACCGTAATACCTCACTCAAACATATGACAGGCATTGAAAGCATATAAGCACAGCAACTTGGTTAGCTAACATGAACCACATGGCCTTCATTTCATCTGTTAGTTTTGAATATCTATGCCAACAGCAACTTTCTTTTGTCTTTCTGTCTTTGACTGCATATCCAGGTGAGCTACAGTGCTTTGAATATATTTAGGGCACAGCTAAAGGCTTAGATCCATTTCAGGGTTAGAAATTGGCACTAGTCCTATAGTCCTTGCCAAACTGCCCAATGGTAAAGGTATCACAAGGACTAGTAGAAAATTGCCCTTTTTAAGGGTTTTGCTATATGTTATCATTATAAGGACTAGTGGACGAAAACTGTTTGTTTCTAACTGCGTTTATCTGCGTTGTTCCCTACAACTATGGGTAACGTCATCAAGTTGCGAGCGCATGTTCGAATCTCCAGAAATGATCATGAAAGAACTGGAATATTGTTCAAAGAGGCGTTAACACGAACTCACTCAGTAACTGTTCTGTCATGACTTGCCAACATGTGACTATATTAATGTTTCAGAATTACACTGCGATTGTGGACCACGTGCGTGCAAGCTGCTATGTGATGAAACTGAATCGCTCGTTGATTGCCCCGCCAAGAGACGTTATTGACCTCATCAACAAACTCGGGGTAAGTCTAGTGACATTCAGTGTATGAAATTAACGGTCACTAATTGATATTTGTTACTTTCAACTTTTTACGTTTTACTGTGCTCACACATCTCAAGTTATGTATCTTATGGTGAGAGAGGTGTGGCTGTCATAAGCCATTTCCTGCTCTCATTTTCTTAGCTTTTACTTGCCACTCTCCTTGCAGCAAGCCACACGTCAGCAAGAAGTGACGATTATCAGGGTTGGCTCCGGCATGTTTAAAAGGGAGGGGTCTAAGAACAAAATCCTTTCTCATTGGAGAGGGTGTTTGTCTACGACATACTCCATTTGGTTTTCAAGTGGGGGATTCCACCCACCCACCCACCCACCCCCAGGATCCGCCTATGATTCATCACAGCTTACCAGTCTATTCAACAAATTACATGTTTTGCATCCATTTCAATTTTGAAACAACTACACTTTTAGATAAGCATATGTCATACAATGGTTAAGTTTCATTGAGAAAACATCCTAAAATGGGAAAAACTTTTTCCATTTGCATATTTATCCTTTGCTTACCTTGGTTTTATGTGCCCTATGGAGAGCTAGCGATATGGTCACTTGATGTATAAAGATGTATAAAGATATATTGTTGCCGTTGTAGTAGCATAACTATACAATTATGCAAAACAATATAGTGCACCGAAAGGCTTCCAGTGTGCCAGTCAGCTCTAATTTCAGAATAAGCGTGTTTGCTTACAAACGAGTCTGGTCACACAATATGCAATGTAAAAGCATAACTCAAAAACTTTTATATACTTTCTTTCAAAACTTTGCATGTCTACTAGGCACATACTGAACTGGTGCCTTTTGCTATTTAGATATGATATAGATATATATGATATAGATGACTTCGTCGACTATACGCTTGTAATTTGAGAAATGAGATTTATTTTTGGAAAGCCTGCATTCATCAGACGTCACGTTAATTTGTGTGAAAGAGGATAACCTTAAACAGTATTTAAGATCCAGGGTCCACTTGCCTAAAAGCGATCTTAGCGCTAAGACTATTGTTAGCCTATGTTAAAGTATCGGAGTTACGATCATCCTAGCGCTAAGATCACTTTGTGGGTCCAGGGGTCCAGGGGTCCTTTAGGCCTTGTTTAGTAATTGGATCTAGGGGAATCCTTAAACCTTTACATTTTAGCACAAGGGCTTTGAGAAGGACCCTGTGACTTCCATGGACACACTCAAATACAGTTACTGTTATGTAGTTTCAAGTTTGTTTAGGGCAGTAGGATAGCCTAGTGGTTAAAACGTTCGCTTGTCACACCGAAGATGCGGGTTCTATTCCCCACTTTGGTAAAACGTGTGAAGCCAATTTCTGGTGTTCCCCGACATGATATTGCTGGAATGTCACTCACTCACTCACTCACTCACTCACTCACTCACTCACTCACTCACTCACTCACTCAAATTTGTTCGAGACAGATGTATGATAAGCATTTGTATTGGTGTTTAAACTTTTGCTTAAGAACCAGTTTGGTTTTTAGCTCACCAGAACCAAAGGCTTGATGGGAAAACAAAAATTCAGATATAGTTTAAAGAGCAGGATGTTTAATATTTTGACTGGGGATGACAATCAGGGCTTTTATAGCTATTGCAGTAGTATTAAGACTGCATTAAGGCTTGATAATTATATTAATCAATGTCAAAGAAATGAATACAGTCTTGCTGACAATCTCAAAGTTAGCCATTAAACCAAAGGGAAGTAACTCTAATCTGAAGTTGTCATAACCCTTACTAACCAATACACAGGCTTGTTTGAAGCTGGCATAATATTTTTTTATTTATGCGGTAACTAATTGCAACTGTTGAAACTATCGATTGTTGTGCATACTATCAACAGTACTATTGGTATTTTAAAATTAAGATGGATATTGTGCTGTTGTGTTGATAGTTGACCCATGAAGATCCGGGGTAGAATAGATCTTCAGAAACCCATGCTTGCTGTAAAAGGCAACTATGCTTGTCGTAAGAGGCGACTAACGGGATCGGGTGGTCAAGGTTGCTGACTTTGTTGATGTATGTCATCGTATCCCAATTGCGTGGATCGATGCTCATGAGGTCAATCACTGGATTGTCCGGCCCATACTCGATTATTTAGAGACCGCCGTCATATATAGCTGGAATGTTGCTGAGTGTGGATTTAAATAACAAACAAACATTGATAGTTCGATCTGTTTTGATACACTCCTAAATTTTACAGTAACATGTGGAAGGCAGTGTTCTCTTAATGAGAGGATTGCAATGGCCAATGACTCAGTTATTACTTAAAAAGTTAACAGGTACAATATTATTGTCATTTATTATGTATTTTGTGCTGAAATACTTTATATATTTATCTCCATATTTAAGAAGTAAAATAACACTATGCCAGAACTACTTCCAGTCTATCATAGTGACACTATGACTTTCAGAGTAAGATCATGTCCAAGAAAATACATCATTAATCGAACATTTGTCTTTTTTGGTCAAATAACATGTTTATCTTATCTCGTGACCTTCAAAGTTCACATTGTTTGGGTTTAAAAAAATGTCTTTCCTTTTAAACAGCGAGAAGGCTATTACCTACCACGTGCTGACGTTGTGCGTGAGAAATATACTGTGGTGACACCCCCCATGGGAGATCTCAAAGTCCTTGGGCCCTACATTATGAGGGAGTGCTTCTGGTACAACACGTTCAGGCTAGAGAAGATTGTGGATGGAGGTAAGCGATCTTTCCAACATCGTCATAAGTGGTCCTTGACGCTTGACGTATACTGCTATGGTATTCAGATTAAGAAATTAGGGCTGTAATGATTCACCGATACCTACGATATCAATGACACTTAGGTGAACTCGATACTTGAATTATCAGTTTGGGAGATTGCGATATGCTATAAATAGAACAGGACTAATAGAGTTACCTCCCATAATAGCAGACGTAGCATAGTGCCACCTGCATGGCAGAACTCAAGGACGTGGTAGCTGACTAAATAACCACCCCTTCATTTAGAACATTTTTATTCTTGTTGTTTTCTTTGTTAAAGTATTTGAGATAACCATAAAAAAAATGAGAACAAGGTTTTAGACCTGTATTTCAGTGATATCATCATTTCTTTCTATTTTATGTGATGAATCGTGATACCAGTAGTATTGTCAATCCGTATCGTGATACGAATTGTATCGCAAGATACCACCAGGCAATACTTAGCTCTAACAGAAATTCTCCCTACAAAATTGTGCTGTGGACAAGTAACAATCCAATGATGGAAGTCCTCATTTACTAGTAGCAATTGAGGGCTATAATTCGGGAGCAATTCTCAAAACTTTAACTTTGCTATAAATGGAACTGAATGAAACTAGCAGAACATGTAAACATAGTCAACATGTTTGTCTCGTTCAAGCAGGACCAGCTACAGACTTTGAGGACTAATTATCAGCTTTGCACTTGTCCCCTGGACTAGTCATTAAAAAAACAAGTTTCTAAGGCTGTTATGTATAGGATAAAACCCGCATCCCGAGGGATTTTTGGAGGGAAAGGGTTTTAAATATCATAACAACCCAAGGGGAAGTGTTTTATCTAACTTATAAACCGATTTTGAACCTTAAAACAACATTTATCAACATTTTTGTGTTTCGAACATACTTTCCATGAACCTTAGGAAACAGGCGTAAAATATCTGTTGCTGGCGTACGGATCTTGAAAAGGACATTCTAAAAAGCAGCGCGGCTTATCAGCGCCTCTGTAGCCTTGTGGTACACTCACTGGGCTACAGATATGAAGGTTGCGAGTTCGATCCTCGGGAATATAAAGAAAACATTTGTCATTTGATTTTACACTTCATTACATGTTACAATCTGAACGGAAGTTATATTAATAAAATACCCAGGACATTATATAAAATCCTGGGGATATTATAACACATTACATAGCTAATATGACTTGAATATCCTATAAAATCCCGGGGATATTATATAAAATCCCAGTGACATTACAACGTCCCTGTTTATGAGATTTAACCCGACTGGAGAACAATAGGATGACGTCACCGGAGGTTTATAACTGAAATAAGGGACCCCTAAATATTTAAGATGAAGCATTATTGTTATGACAAGGACCCCAGGACTTTCATGGTTGACCCGTGAAGATTCCGGGGTAGAATAGGTCTTCAGGAACCAATGCTTGCCGTAAAAGGCGACTAACGGGATCGGGTGGTCAGGCTCGCTGACTTGGTTGATACATGTCATCGATCCCAATTGCGTGGATCAGTGCTCATGATATCAATCACTGGATTGTCCGGCCCAGACTCGATTATTTACAGACCGCCGTCATATAGCTGGAATAGTGCTGAGTGCGGCGTTAAACAACAAACCAACCAACTTTCATGGTTACTGTTAAACAATGGTGAGCGAGTGAATGTTGTTTTTGTACAGGACTCAGAGCCGTACCACCACATCCCAAATTTGGTCAGATCTTACAACCAGATGATCTGATCGGATGGTGATAATAACAATAAGGCTGTTTATATTGCGATATATTTCCCCGCCCCAGGGGCATGCTCAAAGCCCTACTTTATTATTACTCAGTCAATAGATCAGTGTGCACACGGTTGTTATTCTCAGCTCCCTGGGGAGTATACAACACAAGCTGCCTGCGAGGTGCTGGAAGGTTAATAGTCACGTTACAATCACATCCTGGGTACCCATTCACTGCTAGATAGAATAGAGAAATGCCTGGGATGATTTAGCAACAAAATATTATCTCATGCTTGTCAAATGAGGATCTGATGGTAACAATATCTAAAAGAAATGACCCTAAAATTATGGAATTCGGCTAATGCTATTCACCGTTGAGACTTGCTAATTGTTGACTGTAAGTGTATTGTTTGATAGGCATTTCTCAGAAGTTTATGGATAACAACTTGCTTGACCATTGTATAAGCATCTATATCAAAATGTCGCTATTACAGTATTATAAAGAAGTTGTTATTCATAAACTTTTTGTCTACTTTGCTGTTTTATAGCTAGAATATTGTTGACTGAAGTACAAAAAAACATTCACTCGCTAACTTGACGAAGATGAATAATGAACATGGCAAATTTTCAGACAGTTATTTTGGGAGGCTAAAATGTAGCCGGAATTTTGCTGGGTGTAGAAAAAATAAGATTCACTCACTACAGTGAACTACAGTTATAACAAACTCGAGGGGACCACTAATTTTAGTCCGTAATAACCGTAGTTCGTTATAAGCATACATACAGCATATATACAACAAATGATCGGGACAAAAAAATAAGTTCGTGTTCGTTACTGTATTTGGGCCAGGATGAATGAATGAATTTTAGGACAGTTATTTCCGGCTGCAGAGGGGGCACGGGTGGCCCAGTCGTCTAAAGCGCCGCGATTCCCTGTGCGGAGTTGCGTCCCTTGGGCACGCCAGAAACCTATGATTGTGGGTTCGAATCCCGGTTCGCCCCAATTATGTTTCTAGGTTTGTCAGCACCATACCCGTGCTCGTGGGTTTCATCGAAGTGGTAAACGTCTGAGACCTGCATCACTTCGGGCTTTCCTCCCACATCAAGCTGACACGCCGTGATATAACTGGAATACTGTTAAAAGCGGCGTTAAACCCAACTCACTCACTCACTCACTCAGGCTGCAGAGATAAAGCTGGCATATTGCTGGCTGCGGCGCAAAACAACATTCATTCAGTCGCCCACAATGAATGAGTAAATTTTGCTTTGACTTATTTATTATGCATGATTGGTCTAATATTAACAGTGATGGTGTCTTTAGTTGCCACCGAGCCCAATATTTTTCTGCTAACCTAATATGACACCGTATACGGCAACTAAAGACGCCATAACAAATTTATTTTGCTGAAAAGTTTACACTATTTGGTATCATTGTCGCACGTGTCATGTCAAAATGAAAACTCGACACTTTCAACCGGTATAAAGGACAGGACCAGTATATATGTTTCCGATATACAACGCTTTAAAGTAAACATTAACAATGGAATATAAAATGCACTAAATGTGAACGTTAAAGTATTATAGCTAAAATGGATAGAATTATCATAAAAATGCCTGCATGTTAACAGAAATTTGCAGGCCACTGTAACTTGATATGAGTCTGCTTTCCCCTAACGATGGGCTGCTGTCTATTCTATTGCTATGTGACATCATTTGCGTCACGTTGCTTGTTTGTGACGTCATCCTATATTATGTTCTATGACATAGCTATATGTAACTCAGTGACCTACATTTTAAGCTTTTTTTATATAATTTTTATAAATAAAGTCACGAATGAGGTTTCTTTAATAGATAATGTCTTTGATCATCACAATTAATTATATTAAAACACAAAACAGAGTCGAATATCAAATTTCTGTACCAGAATTTCCATGTGAAATATGTGAGATGGGAAAATCCAAAATGGCTGTTTCTGACGGTTTACGGTCTCATATTATGTCAGTAACAACCATCTTGGATTTTTACTGACGGTATACGAGCTCTTGTGGGGACAGTAGTTCGGCTCTCTGATTGGTCAATCTCACTTTGAGGCATAAAAAACACAAAACTACAGCAATACAATTGTTTCAGCCTTATTTTCTGGTGGCCAGGTCGTCTTAGGCACCGTAATTCGCTGTGCAGAGTGGGTTTCCACAGAGTGGTAGACATCTTAGACCTGCATCACTTCTGACTTTCCTCTCTCCGGTATATATCTGGAAGCTTGAAGCTGACACACCGGTATATAACTGGAATACAGTTCAAAGCGGCGTTAAAACCAACTCACTCGCCCACTTTAACTTTATTATGAAATTATTTGTGATTGTTTTTTTCAGTGGTGAAGCGAAGTACCCGTCGACGCACAGTACCACGGGAGGAGGTTCATCACGGCTTCAGCGCCGTCCCGAACAAGCTCCTCCTGAAGGTGTCCATCAGACTGTAGTGGCGATGCTGACTGGGTAGACGAGTGTGATTTGAGAAAGGGTGATGTAGTCTAGAGAAGGATCCACGGCCATCTTACATCATGTTTGCCATTGTTGCATCTTAGAAGCAAACAACTTGAAACAAGCAGCTTCGCTGTGCTTATTTTAAAGGAGAAAGGAAACAGCACACGGGCAGGCACGTTCCTTAGGGTCATTGAGTTGCTCACTGGCGGATCCAGGGGTGGGGTGCAGGCGGGGCGCACCCCTTCTTTTTTTCTGACACTTTCCATGTTGACTGCCCTGGGCCAAGTTAGTTTGTGACTTGGGTATGACGTGCACCCCTCTTTATTGAAAGTTCTGGATTCGCCTCTAAGTTGCTGATGCCTTAATACTTACTGTGCAAAGATGGATTTTTTTGTCATATTAATTGATCATTTGACATGTTTGAACTGTGGATCTTGTGAGAAGTGCTACCTGTCTAATTATGTATATATTGTTATTGTTATTATGCACTCGTAAGGGATATATTATGGCGCTAGCACATCTCCTATACTTTAAAGTTATAATTCCATCAATGTTCCAGTTTAATGGTAAATGACCAGCTTAAGCAGCTGATTTTCTTGATTGCCTGTATTTGATGGTATATTATTTCATAAAGATGTTTTTTAAGAAAGTACAACTAACAGCTCACATTCATCCTAGGATGTGGAGAACCGATTGGTAGTCATTGTGAAGTACCACAACTGGTAAACACAGATGTGTCAAACTGAGGACGGATTTGGGCAGATCCCAATAATTTTAGCAGGTAGTTTGCTTTTGCAGACAGCATTTGTGCACAGTTTCTACCATGTTCATACCAGTGCACCTCTCACCCCTGCCTACATTTGGACTGTGCCACTGACCCCTGATTGGGGTCACACATAGGTCTCGTCATCTCGTGTTTACCAGTACATGGGAATATCAGAGGGTTAAGCAACCCTGTAGATTGTGTCAGTGTTCTGTGTGTCATGCGTAACATTGCACAGTACGCCGATAGTGTTTTATACCGCTCATCTCAGTGTTCACGTAGTGTTCACACAACGAAAGATAGGCCATAATCCCTAGCTGGTTCTATACAGCCTGCTACTTGTTTGATGACTATTGTGATGTGTAATAATTTTTGGCTGTCATTCTTATTCTGATGTATGTGGTTTTGTTTTCAACAGCTTCAATCTCCTCAATTAGGGGAAGTCTGAGACTTTAGCAACTAGCCTGTAGCCTGAGTATGGTAAGATGTCTTTTGGCCAGGTCATTTTTGCTGACAAGAGTCTGTACATAACACTACGATATCCTGAAGTGTTAAAGGACAAGTTTGATCCAGTAGACTCAAAGATTATTGGCACTGAATGTGGTAGTTGCCAAATTGTCAGTCTCATTAAATGAGATCTTTCACTCTTGATACGATCCCACCATACGTGTCAAGTGCTCCGGTCGAATCAGGTGGACTTTCTAATCAGACAGACATCATCTGGTGTTTGATTTCTGTCTCAGAATCATGAACAGGCAAGAAAATAATAAAATGAGAATAAAAGGCAACACTATTGTATTGTTGTGAATATTTAATACACAGCGATGGAAAATATTGTAGTCCACTAGTCCTTATTATGATAACAGACAGCAATCCATTAAAGAGGGCAGTTTCTACTAGTCCTTATGATACTGGGGCGGTCGGGTAGCCTAGTGGTTAAAGCGTTCGCTCGTCATGCCGAAAACCCGGGTTCGAATCCCGACATGGGTACAATGTGTGAAGCCCATTTCTAATGTCCCCCGCCATGATATTGCTGGACTGTTGCTAAAAACGGCGTAAAACCATACTCACTCACTCACTCCTTATGATACCTTAACTATTTGGCATTTGGCAAGCACTACAGGACTAGTGCCAAATTCTAAGGATGGCTTGTTTCTGAGTCTGTGGCATCTAGGTGTACTGTTGAGGTGTGCTCTCGAGGAAATATTTGTGCCAAGAGATCAAAATCTCTGAATTGTGGTGTAAACAAATGAAACCAAATTGTTTCCGAAAGCAGATACAATGTTTCTGATTGGCTCGCTAACCCACACATCCATCATTTTGATTGGAGGCCCACGTTTGTTTTGCCATTGGAGAATAATGTGTCAGAGTGAAAGATTTCATTTAATGACATTTCCAAATGTCTGCAACTGAATTCTAATTCAACTGAATGTCAAGAGACAAGTTAGTTATTATTAGGTGTTGATTTCAGTGTGCATTTTTTTACAGTTAAGTTGCCTCAGCATTGGATGACAAGATTATTTAATATAACATGAATGTAATTTTAACACTGATTTGGCTGCAGCAAAATTAGAGGGATAGTTTTAAAGATGAATGTTGGTAGCAAAATATTGGTCGTTTGAACATGTTGAAAAAGATTTCTTTATCTTTTATTCCTATTTTACAAGTCACGAAGGTGACATTGATTTTTTTCAAATTGCTTCTGGTTTTTGCATTTTTACATATTCTTTTATGTTTTTTGTGTTGTAATATCTGCATATTAATTTGCCTGATGATTATTGTGATCATCTAAAGTTCATTGAGAAGTATTTTCCGTAATATATAACCCCAGTATATTTGCCATGTTCAAGGAATTATGGAAATGTAAGATGTGTACAATGGAATATTTACACCAGCCATTTTAGCTTTTTGGAGATCTGAACTTTTATGGAACAACATACTTTAAGTGAGTTAAAACGTGATTAACAATGAACATGGACGGTCTGAACCAGGATGGGAGCTTTTCATTTATAAACAGACAAGTACAATGTATATATATTCATTTTGTGATGATTTTCTTTATTGTGCTGTCTGTGCTAGAGTGGTCTCCCTTGAACTGTATTACATTCACTGATGCACGTGATCTTACATAATGTGATTTCTTAATCATTATTAACTTTTATGTTATTATGATGCTTATTTTGCTTGCTAACTTGTGATGCTAGTTGTTCATCAAGCTAAAAAACTTAGCTTTGTCATGTAACTTTTTAAATAATTCATACAGCAATGCATAGAAACAAGAAGCATTCCATAGTGCAATTTTATATTTTATGACCTTTACACAGAATACAGCATCATAGGAGTTCATGTATGATTAAAAACAAGTGGTTGTTGAGTAATGCGATCATTTTACGTTGACTGCCCTTGAGGAATGGTCCACAGTAGTGGCTGGACATGGGGCAGGCATTTGCTCATTGACGTGTTAGGATATGGTAAGGTTCTGCTGACAGAGCCTTAGTGTCTGTGATATTCTGAAATTCTGAAACTGATTGCTATGGCTTTTTTTCTGTATTATACCTATGCTTCTTGTCAGCATTTAGTGCCAAATATAGCTAGAAACAGTACTGGCATTTGTTGACTCGGAAAAATCCGATTCTTTTTTTTTTTAAATAATTTCTGAGAACATTTTTTTATGTTGAAGGAATGTATATACCGGGTAGTACTGTTTGGCAACTGTGTTTATTTGATAATTTACATTTTAAGCATAAGTGGTTATTATAGCAAATAATGCTTTTTTGGAAGGAGAAAAAGATGTGTTTTACTCAAAAGGTGTTTTTAACTATCAGTAATATTCTTTATCATGTTTTCTAAACTGAAAGTTTTGGGAATCTTGATGTATAAATGGTTTAGCTGCCAGGACTTATGAAATTTGGTTTAAATGTTTATTAACAGATTTTGAAAAAGTGAAATATTTGGTCAGTAGGTTGAAAAAATATTTTATTTATAAAACGCATGGTACATGTGTTGTTTTTTGTCTTAAAGTTTGAGTTGGATTGGTAGGTGATGAAACAATTGTGGCCTGGTTTTGGGTCCTTCTAAAAATTACGATTCTAAAATCCAACTTATGACAATTTATCGTTTAAATTTTTTGTTTCAGTCCTTTAAAAATCCCTTGTTATTTATATTGTCAAAGCGATCTTTACACCTTATTCTGATTTTTTTATCCTTTTTTTTATGAATTTTCAATTCTGAAGGTCGACTGATTCTTAAATGAAGCAAAAAATGGGAGGCCAAATGGACTGTTCCTAGCTGATGTACCCTCCAATCACAACTGCAGTGCAAGTGCAAACCTCTCTGGTCACAGGTTTGAATGTTTATGAATTATTTTGTTGTGTGCAAATTCAACTGCGTTGCATTACAGCAGTCTGATTGCGCCATGGTTTAGGATGGTTAATCATAGTTCTCAGGCAGCCACTTTCGAAAAATTGATGTGGATGGGCAGCTTTTCATTGTCAGTGTAAAAAATGGTGATCCTGGAGGTTGGAATTTTGTATTTTGAAATAGAATGCTGTCTTTGGGTGCCTGAGAACAAAGAATGGTTTCCTTTGTAACCTTTCGATCTTCAACATGATTTAGTTGGTTCTTCACAGGACGAATAACATGACAGGATAGCTAGCTTTCATGATTGATAGATAATTTTGCCAATTTGAAACCAAAGTTCTGAAGGCATAGTAGTAGAGGAAATGATGAACTGTTTGATCAGACAGAGGTGCAATCGTTTTGAATGAAATGGTCAATGTTGAGGTAACAAGTTTAGACCTCTGTGATGTATGGATACATTGTTAGTGTGGGACAAAGTTTGATTCTGCCATGGCGTGAGGGAGGACTGCACGAAGTGGCTGCACATCAACACTCATTGCTGATCACAAGCCTAGCTTTGACCACATGTTATGCTCATATGTGTGTCTCCATTTTGTCATTTTGAAGTTGTATAATAAAGTCTATGAGATAACGAGACATGTTTGTGATTAATTCACCAATTTGAGTCGGCTTGTTTGTTGTTAAACACCGCACTCGGCAATATATGACGACGGTCTGTAAATAATCAAGTCTGGACCAGACATTCCAGTGATTGACAACATGAAGCATCGACATTGGGATTGATGACATGCATCAACGAAGTCAGCGAGCCTGACCACCCGATCCTGTAAGTTGCTTCTTACGACAAGCATAGTCACCTTTTACAGCAAGCATGGTTTGCTGAAGACCTATTCTTCTCCGGATCTTCACCATAGCTATGTCAGCAATTATTGTAAAACAACAATGAATATCAAGTCCTTTACAAACCTATTCCGGGTAAACCACTTATCTGATTTAAACATTAGTATATACAAACAAGATTGTTGCATTTATATGGTGAAAAGTGTTTATGCGTGCATGCCCATGCTATTAATAATCCAGACTAATGCTGATTTTATGGTGCAACAATACTGGAAGTGGTTCCTGAGTAATGGGGGCAGTCGTCACGCCGATTCCCGACATGGGTACAATGTGTGAAGCCCATTTCTGGTGTCCCCCGCCGTGATATTACTGGAATATTGCTAAAAGCGGCGTAAAACCAAACTCACATACTCACTCCTGAGTAATGATTTGATTTAAACTTCAGTATATATACTTCTCCCCTTTTGATGGATTATTTTATCTTTGCATGATACACAAAACTCATTGCTATGTCAAGTGTATATTTAAATAGAATGACATCTGATTTTATTACTTGCCTGTCCAAGATACCACTGTTTAATAACAAAAAGCTGGTATTACACAGTGTTTAAGAACAAAGCACATGCTTATGTACTGCCGGAACTATAGTTGTTTGTTGCTTAACGCCACAATCAGCAATATTCCAGCTATATGATGGCGGTCTGTAAATAATCGAGTCTGGACCAGACAACCCAGTGATTGAAATCATGAGCATCGATCCAAGGAAACTATAGTCCTCGCCACTTGAAATGGGATGAGAAATTATTGTGATGATACCTTATCGAAGCTAGCTGCATGTGTACTATTACTTATAACATGAAAACAAGCCATTACAGCGATAAGGAATATTACTTATAGTGATGACAAAAATTGCAAAATGAATTTTTCAAGTTTTGAAAGGCATTTAGGAGTGATACACATGCAGGGGAGAATTTATGGTTGTCAACCTTTTTATTATGAGGAGTGTGCTTAAACGTTGTTTTCCCCATAATTAAGAAGTTTACATCTATAAATTCTCTGCCTTGTGCTTTTCAAGAAATATCCACTTTGCTAGCATTATCGTCATTGAGTTTTGCTCATGTGGTTATTATCTGGTTATATATATAGCAGTGTGTGCAGTCTACACACATCACCACCGCGAACTAAAAGAAAACCCGTTCAGGTGTAACACGCTATTGACAAAGGCATCACTTCAGAAACATCGAAGCGGGATGTAGATAATCACGTCTGGGACAGCCATACCAGCATCACTTCAGCAACATCACAGCAACTTGTAGATAATCACGTCTGGGACAGCCACACCGGCATCACTTCAGCAACATCACATCAACCTGTAGATAATCCCGTCTGGGGCAGCCACACCAGCATCACTTCAGCAACATCACATCAACCTGTAGATAATCACACCTGGGACAGCCACACCAGCATCACTTCAGCAACATCACATCAGTCTGTAGATAATCACACCTGGGACAGCCACACCGGCATCACTTCAGCAACATCACAGCAACTTGTAGATAATCACACCTGGGACAGCCACACCGGCATCACTTCAGCAACATCACATCAGCCTGTAGATAATCACACCTGGGACAGCCACACCAGCATCACTGCAGCAACATCACAACAACGTGTGGATAATCACACCTGGGACAGCCACACCACCATCACTTCAGCAACATCACATCAACCTGTAGATAATCACCCCTGGGACAGCCATACCAGCATCACTTCAGCAACATCACATAAGCCTTTAGATAATCACGTCTGGGACAGCCACACCGGCATCACTTCAGCAACATCACATAAGCCTTTAGATAATCACGTCTGGGACAGCCACACCAACATCACTTCAGCAACATCACAGCAACCTGTAGATAATCACGTCTGGGACAGCCCCACCAACATCACTTCAGCAACATCACAGCAGCCTGTAGATAATCACGTCTGGGACAGCCACACCGGCATCACTTCAGCAACATCACAGCAGCCTGTAGATAATCACGTCTGGGACAGCCACACCGGCATCACTTCAGCAACATCACATAAGCCTTTAGATAATCACGTCTGGGACAGCCACACCAACATCACTTCAGCAACATCACATAAGCCTTTAGATAATCACGTCTAGGGCAGCCACACCGGCATCACTTCAGCAACATCACAGCAACTTGTAGATAATCACGTCTGGGACAGCCACACCGGCATCACTTCAGCAACATCACATAAGCCTTTAGATAATCCCGTCTGGGACAGCCACACCAACATCACTTCAGCAACATCACATAAGCCTTTAGATAATCACGTCTAGGGCAGCCACACCGGCATCACTTCAGCAACATCACAGCAACTTGTAGATAATCACGTCTGGCACAGCCACACCGGCATCACTTCAGCAACATCGCAGCAGGATGTAGATAATCACACCTGGGACAGCCACACCAGCATCACTTCAGCAACATCACATCAGTCTGTAGATAATCACACCTGGGACAGCCACACCGGCATCACTTCAGCAACATCACAGCAACTTGTAGATAATCACCCCTGGGACAGCCACACCGGCATCACTTCAGCAACATCACATCAGCCTGTAGATAATCACACCTGGGACAGCCACACCAGCATCACTGCAGCAACATCACAACAACGTGTGGATAATCACACCTGGGACAGCCACACCACCATCACTTCAGCAACATCACATCAACCTGTAGATAATCACCCCTGGGACAGCCATACCAGCATCACTTCAGCAACATCACATAAGCCTTTAGATAATCACGTCTGGGACAGCCACACCGGCATCACTTCAGCAACATCACATAAGCCTTTAGATAATCACGTCTGGGACAGCCACACCAACATCACTTCAGCAACATCACAGCAACCTGTAGATAATCACGTCTGGGACAGCCCCACCAACATCACTTCAGCAACATCACAGCAGCCTGTAGATAATCACGTCTGGGACAGCCACACCGGCATCACTTCAGCAACATCACAGCAGCCTGTAGATAATCACGTCTGGGACAGCCACACCGGCATCACTTCAGCAACATCACATAAGCCTTTAGATAATCACGTCTGGGACAGCCACACCAACATCACTTCAGCAACATCACATAAGCCTTTAGATAATCACGTCTAGGGCAGCCACACCGGCATCACTTCAGCAACATCACAGCAACTTGTAGATAATCACGTCTGGGACAGCCACACCGGCATCACTTCAGCAACATCACATAAGCCTTTAGATAATCCCGTCTGGGACAGCCACACCAACATCACTTCAGCAACATCACATAAGCCTTTAGATAATCACGTCTAGGGCAGCCACACCGGCATCACTTCAGCAACATCACAGCAACTTGTAGATAATCACGTCTGGCACAGCCACACCGGCATCACTTCAGCAACATCGCAGCAGGATGTAGATAATCACGTCTGGGACAGCCACACCAGCATCACTTCAGCAACATCACAGCAGCATGTAATTAATCACGTCTGGGACAGCCACACTAACATCACTTCAGCAACATAATCGGGTCAACTCGGGATTGGAACCTACATGTCCAAACTAGATGTCCCGAAACCCACAGAACCAAAATATTCGAATAAGATGAAAACAATCCTTAAATCAGTGTGGAAAATCAGTCAACTCGTCACTCACACATCAACAACAGATCTACCATGCAGGGGAACTAAACATCCAAAGGGGCTCACTAAAATTTGGAGAAGCAGTCACCTTATACTGGTATAAGAAGTTGATCAATTAGGTTGCATAAAAACGTAATGTTATCAAGGGTGGGAGGACTTCTAAAATATTTCACTGGGGTCCAAAAATATTATCGCCTCATGAACAAATTTGAATGTCATCAATGGTGGGAACAATGCATGTGAAGTTTCAGCTTCAGTGGTTCTGTAGTTTCTGAGGACAAGTGAGTGAGTTGGGTTAAACGCCGCTTTTAACGGTATTCCAGTTATATCACGGCGTGTCAGCTTGGCGTTGGAGGAAAGCCCGAAGTGATGCAGGTCTCAGACGTTTACCACTTCGGTGAAACCCACGAGCACGGGTATGGTGCTGACAAACCTAGAAACATAATTGGGGCGAACCGGGATTCGAACTCACAATCATATGTTTCTGGCGTGGCCAAGGGACGCAACTCTGCAAGCGAATCGCGGCGGCTTAGACGACTGGACCACCCGTGCCCTCTCTGAGGATAAGATGTTCATGACGCCGGGTGCCGGACAAATAGGACATGGCGTAGGCTCACTTGACTTTTTCAGGTAAATTGAGTTAAACGCCGCTTTGAGTGAATATGGTTTTACGCGCTTTTAGCACTATTCCAGCAATATCACGGCGGAGGACAACAGAAATGAGATTCACACAATGTGGGCATGTGGAATCGAAACCGGGCCTTTAGCGTGACGAGCGAACGCTTTAACCACTAGGCTACCCCACCGCCCAAACGCCGCTTTGAAAAGTATTCCAGTTATATCACGGCGTGTCAGCTTAATGTGGGAGGAAAGCCCGAAGTGATGCCGGTCTTAGACGTTTACCACTTTGGTGAAACCCACAAGCACTGTATGGTGCTGACAAACCTAGAAACATAATCAGGGCGAACCTGGATTCGAACCCACATCTCTGAAGTGGATGGCCAATATAGCAAAAACAAACAAATACAATTATAACAATCCTTAAATCGAAAATCAGTCAACTCGACATTCACATTTCAACGATCTGCAAAG